TACTGGAAATACAAGAGATGTATGTACAGAAGCGCGTGAGTACTCCGCGATTACATTTTTCACCGTTCATCGGCAACGCCACGTTGTTGTTCTAGGAATAAATTAAAAAATAGTTGAAATAAGTACTTTTATATTGTAAGGTTTTGTGATGGTTATGACATGTATTAAAAAATCTCTAGTTTTTATTAACAGTCATCTTAATTTTAAGGTTAAGATATTATCAAGAACGTATAAATTATTTTATAAGGTATTTGAACTAAAAAACCGTTAAAATACTTTTACATTTTAATGGTTTGTGATTACTGTACGATTTATTATTAATCTTTAGGTTAGGTGTATTTTATCGAGTATTAAACTTTAGCGATCGAACTGCTTTTCGACAAAAAAAATATCTTGTTATCTAAATATCGTGTAAGGAATAAAATTTATTCTAATATAAATATACCTGTATTAATCGTAATGTTGAAGGTAATATATATTTAACACTTAAGTACAGTGTTAATCGGGTGAGCGTATGGTGGAAAAAATGCGCTAGGTATCTACTGACGATCCATTTTGTCTTCTTTTGTTGGTGGAAGTTCTAAAACGTCCACAATTAATGTCATACCTATTTATTTTTTTATTAGTTGAATAATGATTTTGTGTTAATTCCATATCATAACATAAATTCTATAGCTACAACAGTTGTTATTTTGTAGTCTCATATGGTCTAAAAATTTTTTATTTTTTTTTTGTTTGATGGTATTTAGTTCCAGTGTCCAATGATCCTGTCTAAATTATGCGTAAATCTGCGATTTAAATGTCTCAAAGGAAGGGACAAATGAATACAGATAAAATACTGGAATAGTTTTTATGGGGTAGGAGCGTTTACTGAGGTCTTACGGTACTTAGACCAGTTCCCTTAAAGATGTTAATTAAATATAGATGACATCTTTTATTATTTACCAAACCGAGTATATGTAGGTGACATTAAAGTCCGCAGTGACAAATCGGCATGCTGAGCATTGGGGAACATTTCTTACCATTAAGCAGAAGGAGATGGTGGTAGCGTGTGTCGCATATTCCGATTATCAATTGAATAATATAAAACTGAGCACCTAGATGCTATCTTGATCATTATTCAAGACTATAATGGCAGGTTTGGAGCCCCCGTTCTTCAAAGTCTTCACAGAGCAGTCAACAAAACCATGATAGCCTTGATGATCGCCAACATCCGGACCGGATAAGGCACTGAAGAAGAAGAAGAAGTTCTTCAAAGCCATTTTGAACTGAAACTGAAAACTAGCATAGAGGCAGCCCTGGGTGCTTCCAGGATTCAAGGGGGCTATATGTGATTTTCGGAGTTTTCTCCACGTTAAATAAATTTGGTTTATAGAAAAACCATTGTTTTGCCGAAGTTTCGGAAAGGTCACACTTGCTATTGTCAAGTTAAATCAGTTCCTTTCTTGTAGATGTTCGAAGATAACTGATATCTATGCGCAGCCTTATATTTAAGAGAATCATGTATATGAAGGTGAATTAATCACCGACCGTCGTTCTATGTCGACTGTCTTTTGTTCGTGACTGTTTGTTCGCGAGTAATGTCATATTTTTAAAGATCCAGCAGATAGGCTGTACTTAATATTAGATCAAAGATAAGTTTTAGCCATAAGTCAAATTGTTAAGGTTATAGTTAAAAAATTTTGTCGTTGTCCTCGAATTTTATAAAACTTTTTATGAAACTATTGTATTGTATTGTTCTTAATGTACGTTTCAATTGCCTCTATGATTAATTTTAGGGCGAGCGCCCACCAAAGTGGCGTGGCAGTGGCAAGTAGCAAGTAGCACGCGTCTAGCATAATGTAACCAATCCTAACAAATGATTAGAATGAATGACGTTACTGTCATTTTGGTGTAAACTGAATCATTCGTTTTCATTGGTTACATTATGCTAGACGCGTGCTACTTGCTACTTGCCACTGCCACGCCACTTTAGTGGGCGCTCGCCCTTAAGGCTGAAAACTGGTTGTTTGTGATTTGGTACATATAAAACGAAGGTATTGTGATAAAAGCATGAATCAGCTATTTTTATAAAAATGTTATGTGATTTTTAACTAATAAAGGTGTACTGTTTACCTTTATATCATACCGGTTTAAAATAATACGTTATTTCTAAATTGTAAGTTAATTTTTTAAATACATATATATAATTGTTATTTTGTTTTATTTTAAATTAACATTGACCACTTTAAATGTACAAATAGTCTTCAGGATCAGAAAGTTTAAACTACAACTCTTTAATATTGCCATATAAACCATTCTCATTTATTTTTGTCTACATAGGGAAAAGAATGGCACGATCAATTAATGATAATACACTCAAATGTGATTGGGGAGCATATCAATAAATTTATACCAGATCAATACCAAGTTAATTCCAGAACATATAGCAAATCAATCTTGGATTATGGTGGCTTCTTATATGGTTCAGTAACAAAGATCTCACTTAACTAAAGTGGATCTCAGCCCAAATGAAATAAGTTTTCCCTGCAGACGTCTATTTTTGACAGAAAAGTATATACTTAAATGTCAAGGGTATATTCCTAATTATTTACTATAATTAATAGCGATAGTGGAAGCACTAAAATATTTATCTAATATAAATCATTCAAAGTTTATAATTTATAGTGATAGTAAAAGTGCTTTAAGTAAAATTACTGTCATAAATCCTAAACCAAAAGTAAATTACGTTGAATTATATATAATAAATAAAATTAAAGAACTTCAGCAACAAGGCAAAACTGTTAAGTTGGCATGGATTAAAAGCCATTGTGGAATAACTGGAAATGAGATAGTAGATGAATTGGCAAAAAACGCTGTGACACAAGGAGTATTAACTCATTATCTTTGTACGTCTAGATATATAGAATCAGACACGTTCAAAGAGCTTAAGAAGGAATGGAAAGAAAGGTATATTAATGAGAATATAAATACAGGAAAGCATTACAGAGCAATCAGAAACCATATTACGGATAAATCTTGGTTTGCTAAAATGGAGTCGACAAAAGATATAACAAGAACTATATGCAGAATGAGATTTAACCACTGTCTTACACCGTCATAATATATCTTTAAAATGAATCTAGCTGATAGTCCACAATGTACTTGTGGTCAGATGGGTAACCTACAACATAAAATTTTAGACTGTTCTCTTATATCCAATAAGGTTAATAATTTTTTAAATTCGCTGTATTCTAAATTTAAGTTATTTATTAACATCAGAAAACAACGAGTTTTTACATAGATTATTGTATAAACATGTTTTAGATATTAAACTCAAATTGTAATTGTAAATATAGAGTAAGTTTTGTAATTTGTTAGCAAAAAAAGAAAAAAAAAATAATAAAAAAAGTAAATAAAAAAAAATTAAGAAACAAATAAAAAAAAAGTAAAAAATAAAAACAAAAGAGAAAAAATGAGGAACTTGGACAGTCCACAGTAAAATAGCTATCGAATTAAGTAGATAGCTGCTGAAGAGTTTACTGTGGAACTCTGAGGACCTCATCACTTATTTTATATATAAATAACTAAAAAACAATTCATAGAAAAAAAAGACTATATATTAGAGATCAATACTAGTAATAGTAGGATTAGTATTAGTACGAATTTATTATAAGATAGGAAACAATGACTAATGAAAAAATGAGTACAAATTGTAAGACTGGCGAATGGATTTAGTTTCCGCAGTCATTTAAACACAAACAAACAACAACAAAGATGTAATATGTGTAAGTATTTGTCTATTTATATTAGGCATTGTCTACTTATTAAATGGCACATTTTTTAGTTTTATACTGATTAAATGCTACAGGGTGGCAGCTAGAAGGTTTTAAAAAATGGTACTGGGAACAAATATTACAAATGATTATTAGGAACAGTGACATTTTAGATTTAGGAAGTTTAAATCCGCCTTTGAAGTTACAATAATTCCAAAGAAAATCAAGTAAATTCCCTAATTTATTTGATAGACCCTCAGGCTGAAACTGTTTTTAACTCGATGAAAATGTCTATAGAAAATCAAATTACTATGATGTAGTCTATACTAAATTTCAAAATCATTTTGTGCATCGACAAAATCTCATTTATGAACGTTATCTGTTCCATAGTCGCTATCAACTAGAAGGGGAGAGTGTGAAAGATTTGTTACAAGCACTACATTTTAGGGCTGATGACTGAATTTCAAATTGCTTTTAAAGACAAAGTCATAAGAGATTAAGTTGTTGTAGGTATCCAGGATACATCCGTTATCCATTTAAACATGTAGGTATGTAGTTTATCACACATCCTACTTAAGATTTATTTAGACATATCCCTACAGATATGGGTAAGAAAGTGGCGAAGCATGAGAATAACGGCGGAAGAACAGAGGCTTTTTATACACTTCTTTGCTGGGACCAAATAGTGAACGCATAAGATGAAGACGATCTTCGTCTATATGTTAGGGAAATTAAAAAAGAATATGAAGCAACGGACCTAAAAATACATACGGCAAAACGTGGATATCTGATAGTGGGCAATGACGAAACACCCGATTTAGATGCAGAAAATAATAAAAAATTATTTGGCGGTGAATAAGAAATGGAATACTCAACTAGCCTACTTATTACTATTTGTCTACTGCTGAATTTAGGTATATATTCGTACCCCCATCTTGTAGACATTCAGAATACCATACTGAATGTCTACAAGATGGGGGTACGAATATGTTAGAACGGAAGGGAACTGGAGAGTTAAAGAAATTACAAGAATAAAAAAAAGTTGATAACAAAAATGCTTATTTACAGCGACTAACGACAATAATTATAAATATTGTAAAAGATGAGTATTTCAGTATTTATCAAAGCGATTACTTAAAGGTCACAGTAAAGGTCGTGCAAAATCCATACTATAGACAAGACATCCTTAAAAAGAAAAAAGAAGCAGGATAACCTGTCAGTCAATTTTTTGACATTTGAATTATTATTTTCTTTCAATCCAAAATATTATTTTTAATTTACTATGTTATAATTTTAAAAAATATGATAATAAGTGAGAGTAATGAATACATTAAAAATTTTAAATTTACGGCTTAATACATTGATTAGGGGCATGTCTACGTCAAAAAATGGTGAGCTAGAACAAAACCTCTAAATTTATTTATACATGTTTTTTATTATTCAGTTACAAAATTGTTCACACAGAGATTATTAAAAATTTGAGGTAATATTTAAAATCCTGATCCAAATACTGAAATAATAAAACTATATACTCAAAAACTTAAAACTTAGTTCAAATATGTTGAGTCTTCCTTATATTAAAAATTCGTAGCAATTCACATACTTTTTCGAAATATTATATATGTGATATTACAAATGTTGTCTTTACTTTAGTAATATTAATAGAAAAAATGGGTAGTATAACTACAATAGGCATAAACAGACCAGAAAAACGCAATTGTGTCGATTCTACAACAGCAAAACTTCTAAAAGATGCCATAGAAGAATTTGAAAATGATAATGATTCCTTGGTTGCTGTTCTTTATGGTACAGGTGGAAATTTTTGTTCAGGTTTTGATATGGAAGAATTAGGTAACTTAGAAAGTAATTCGAATGTATATAATGTGTCTGAAACGGGTTTAATGGTAAGTAAACTGAATATAAACTCTAGACCATTGTATATTATTAATAAGTAACTGTTAGAGTAAAATTTCTCAAGAATATTTACTTTTTGATATGTTTCTAAGTACAATTGAAGAGTTTATTTCCCAAGTGTCTTAAATCAAAAATTTCGTGTGTATGTTTCCAAAAAAGTGAATAACGATATAATGTCTAGTTTTGAAGAAGAGGTAGTGTCTCACACGGGTCGTACCGCGAGAAAAAGATCACGAACACCTGCACAGTGGGGAAAAATATAGATAAAAGACTTAGATACACCAGTGATGGCATTTTGCCATGAATAGCTAGTAGACATAATGATGGATGTTGTCAAGCTAATTTGATTATTTCTAGAGACTGTAAGCGTTTTCATAGAATCTTCTATGGTCATGAAAGTAAAGTAGAACAAGACTCATTACCAGTGTTATACATATAGCTTTTGCTGTAGCAATTCTAATGAAATAGAAACTATAGTGATTTTTTTATAAGATGTTAAGTAAAAGTATGGCAAATTATATGCCAGTTAAAAGTTTGATTCTTCTAGCTTTCCCCAGATGGTATCTTCCCAATCTCAGGCATACAATATGGGATAAAAAGAGGGCTCACATAAACTTCAAAAACTCACTCTACGAAAATGACTATATTACCTTCCAAATAAATTCTGTCAATTCATTAAGGAAAGACTATGGTATTCTCATGATATCTAATTTTCTCATGAGGTGTATTTATACTTTAAGTAAACTCATTTACATGCTGTTTAGCCAATCACCAGTGAGTGAAAGGTTTTATAATGTATGGAAAACAATTTTGTTCTACCAATACATTAATCTAGTGATAAGTCTAATGTAAAAAGTTATTGTCCCATCAGCAAGCCAAGTTTGATTCTCAAACTATTTGAATCACTTGTAACAAAATTCCTTTCATTTAAATCACTTGTAAAAATATTATCATTGCTGAGAAGCTTGGTTTTCCATCTGGTAAAAGTTGGTACCTGGTTAGTTCAGTGTGTCAGTGATCTCCATTGCCTTATTATTTATAATAAAAGTATGTTCATCTTCTGCTGAAATTGAAAACCTTAATACATATGGAATTTTTACTTGATGGCAGGAGTTTGTTTTAATTTTAATTTTAATTTGTTATAGTGTATATTATATAGATTATAAAATCCACAAGGAAAACAATTCCTGTAGCTGGCTGTATACCACGTATCACAAAAAAGAGGTTAGTCTTCGTTATAAATTTTTCAAATAAATATACCCACTTATGAAGACTAACCTCTTTTATATAGAGTATAGGCAAATAATTATATATAGATTTAGATGTAATTTGTTGTAGGGTCTTCCATGTCATGTTAAAAAACCCACAGTAGCTGCAATAAATGGCTATGCTGTAGCTGGTGGATTAGAATTGGCCTTAATGTGTGATCTAAGAGTTATGGAGGAAACAGCAGTTGTAGGATTATATGCTAGAAGATTTGGTAAATATTTTTTTTTACAAAATATGAATTTTTATTGAAAAAGGAACTTTATGTTGGAAAAGTTTCATTGTATTGGAAAAGAAAAAATATTAATATTGGAAATGTCTATTTTTACTGTCATAACAAGTGAATACATCGATATTCAATAAAATCAATAAATACAGGTACAATACTACAAAAGAGGTGTTTACATTTATTGCTGTTCTGAAGAAAGCTAGGGCAAACACGTGTAAGGAATATATAATCATTAGCTTAACTAGTCATTTGTTCAAAACCTTTTTAAAATAATTAAAAAAAGAATCTATACATACAACTTATACATACATAGTTGGTTTTTCAGGATGCTGTAGATACAAGGGAACAACTTTATGCTATACAAGTTATGTTCCAGGCTGGGAAGATATCAACTATGACATATAGTGAGATTTTATAGATAAAACACAATAAACTAATGAATATATTAAGGAACACTGGGATCAATGACCAACATCTTAGAATAATCAACTTTATTATGGTTTAACAGAAAAAAATCAGGACAAATAATTGGGCGAAAATGTTATGATAAAGAGCAGTGTCAGACAGGGGCGGGTCTTATCACCTCTATTTTTGATATCTACTCAGAAGAAATACTGAGGGCTTACTATTAAATAGAGAATATCTGAATATTTCAGATATGCAGATGACACAATAATCTGAGCAGACATGATATAAGGTCTACAGATACTACTTACGAAGGTAGCAGAACTAGTCAATAATACAGCCTTAACTTTAACACTAAAAATACAAAGTTTATGATTGTTGGTAAAAACCAAACATCGCCACAACAATAAATAATTAATTCACAGCCATAAACATACAGCTAAGTTAACAGCTACATTTATTGAGGTACTAATATAAATAGTGGGATTATTCATGAGAAATTAAACAGTGCCTATGGAAGGCTTAGTAAGCAATATGGAATCTGGTTCTTGTAAAGAGAAATCAACAGCGCATATGTCTACTGCATAATTATATTGTAACAAAAAGTAAAAGGCAGAAGAGATCCGGACAGATGAAGAATTTCCTGGTTTTATAATCTTAGAGAGTAATTTATCTACCATTAAACTATTTAGAGCAACAGCAATTAAAAATAGCCATGGTATTTTTATTTGCCAACATCGTAGTAGATAGGCATCTTAAGAAGAAGTACATAGGAGATAAACTTGTAAAGGTTAAAAAAAATTCTGTACATTTTACTCTGCCAAAAAGGTAAAAAATGATCTTAATATAAAAAATCTGTGCTAAAGAGAAAAAGAATAGAAAAACTATTATTTATTACTAATGAATACATTGTAATTGTTTATTCAACATTATATTTGTGCTATATAGGTGTACCTATAACAGATGGAGCAACAGTAAGGCTTCAGGCAATGATAGGTTTATCTAGGGCGTTAGATATGATACTTACTGGAAGATCTCTGAATGCTGAAGAAGCTTTTCAGTGGGGTATGGCGAATAGAATTGTTGCCTGTGGTACAGGTTTGTATATTATTTATTTTATATTACACGCGCCTTATTTTTTTGAACACGCGCCACTGCACCACTTTTAATGTCCACTGCGAGACATAGAACAACTTCCTTCCGATTTTACGTTATCTTGCATCATCATTATGTAGGTGGTGTTCATCTGTTTTGTTTATCTTTTCTTGGTCTACATCCGGTTAATTTGTGTGTCCACCATCCATCCTTCATTCTTGCTACGTGGCCAGCCCATCTCCATTTCAATCTGAAAGCTCTCTTCACAATATCTCTAACTCTGACTCTGTTTCGTAGGTCTTTGTTTCTTGTCTTATTGTTACTCCAATCATTGAACCCTCCATCCTTCTTTGTGCTATCCTTAGTTTTGATGCATTGTTTTTTGTTAGGAACAGTGTTTCCCTACCGTAGGTTATTGCTGGCAGAACACACTAGCCGTGGTTAAATATGTTTTTAAGAGCTCGGTATGTTGCGAATCCATGTTACTTCTTAATATACTTCTTAATATTATTCTGAAGCTATTTTTTTGTGGCATGTTAAAGTAATTACTATTTAAATGGGAATAAGCCGAAATTAAAGGTTAAAGTAGGTTTATTGACGGTTCAATTTCCACTTCGGAAATCGTTCTCAAAATACAAACGTTAGTAAATTAAACAAATTCTGTTTTTTGTTACTTGGTAAAAAATTCTTCTAATAATTTAATTTTATCCTTTAACCTTTAATTGTGGCTAATTCCCATTTAAATAGTAATTAGGTAATTTAAGATACTTCGCCATTTCCAAAACTTATTCCATTTTTCTTGTTATTCTTTACTGTGATTCTAATCGTGTTTATTCTAAACTGTTCTATAACTATATAAACATTGTTTTTTTCTTTTTTAGCTCTGGGCCAAGCCATAAACTTGGCAACATCATTGGTAAAGTTCCCTCAAGAATGTTTAAACGTTGATAGAACCTCAGCATATAATGCAGCCTATAACAACGTCTACCAACAATTATTGCATGAAGAACGCCAAAATTCACAGAAAGTTTCAGTAAGAAATATAGTGGAAGGTGCCAAAAAGTTTTTATCAGGACTAGGAAGGCACGGGAAGACCTATAATTTAACAGAAAGGACTATTTGTGATTGGGAAAAGGAATTTAGAGTTGATAATTCTAGCAAACCAAAGAGTAAATTATAATATTTGTTATTTTTAATAAACGGTAAAGTGTTTTTGTTATTTTCTTTTTTATTTATTTCTTTCCACGAATTTATGTTGCTATATTTCAGTTTTCATAATGATACAATTATGGAAAGCCAATATGGTGGCGCACTATGTTAGTTCAACCCATGATCTATTAACAGCAAGACAACCACATGCTATAGAATATGCACGTGCCTCTTTCTTATCGGGAACAAGGAATTTTAAATAATTGTTTGTGTACATTGTTTATTAACCCATTTACTACACAAACACACTGTTACATAATCAAATCTCATCAAAACAATACGTCCGAGACCATTAGTAGATATAAATTGAACACTGGCGTCCGATGAGGACGAATATATTTAGATTTGTAGATCTCAGTTAGGTGTCTGACATAACTCAACAATTTCATGTATTATATTGGAATGTAGGTGAAACAAAAATAAAACGTATTTTTTAAAATGTGTTTGTCTTCTGAAAAGCCGTTAAAAAGGTGTTTCTACCATCATACCGCGCCGGTCCGAATGTACTAAGAAGTTAGTTTCCAACATCACAATGCTGTAGTGGGCCAACTCAGCATGAGAATATTTTTACAGAGTTATTGTAGGAAACGATACTTAACTTTGTACCACACCTTATTAATGCAGAAATAAATTTACTGTTGCAAAATTTTTTAATCATAATTATGAGAGAAGCATAATAAAGAATAAATAGAAGTGTACAGGTATTAATTTTGATTAGAACTGCGTACTACAAGTAGTCATTTCAGGTGCATTATCCACAAGTGGTGATCTTAACAAGCTAAGTTAGTCTGGGACTATTTTTGCTTTTGTTCTTAGGTTTCCAGAATGAACAAAGCATATCACTTGAGCCCAGTAATGTCACCAGACATCTTCCATGTCATTCTCGAGAATTTCCAATACAACACACGTAGTGTTACCGAATGACTTAAAGAAATATCAAGATTATTGTATATATTACAATAATATAATATTCGTTAATAATAAACAAAAAAATTTGAACGGCTTACTATCAAACCTTATTATTTTCAAGTTTTTTGTCTAGACTTCTGCTACTGGATCTCAAAGGAATAACTGATGCGGTTTTGTGACTTTTGTGCGATATCTCATTAGTTTTTCTTGAGTTTTTGCTTGCAGCACTCAAAGTAGAAGATTTCTAAAAAAAAATTGTCATATATCTAATAATATAATAATATATCCAATATATACAGTGCTTTTCAGATAAAACTATCTACCTTAAATAACTTTTGAACCTCTATTTTTTTGGAAAAACGCAAAAACACGTCAATTAATATTTGAAGGGAAAGACATTATATCATATTTAAGGTTGCTAGGAAATGCACCCTCTCTCCCCCTGTATTAACCCTTTATTTTTTTAATTACTTCCCCCTTTTTTATTTTATATTTTGATTCTTCTCTTTGTACTGATTTCAAAAATGTATAATACCTTTGGCTTGATGTGATTAGTTTATGAGATAGAGAATTTTCCTGTTAACAAGATAGTATCTATCTCACCTTAATTGACTGTAACAAAATAGGTTGTAGCATAATTTAAACTTTTTAAATATTTAACCGTACTATTTTTACTACCTTCAAAAACCAAGAAACAAAAAAATTCACTTTTTATTAAGGTTTTTCAAAGGTTTTCGATATCATTTTTACACGGTATTAATTTTTAAACGAAACTTTTCCCGGTTCTTGGATAGGTAAAAGACGACAGATGATGGATTGGCCACCTAGGTCACCGGATTGAACACCCCTAGACTTCTTATGGGGATATTTAAAAACAAAAAATTATAGTACTCAACCAGAATCTCTAGATGATTTACGACAAAGAATGGAGGATGAATGTCGATAATTAAATGCACACGTGTTAAGCAATGTCAGGGAAGAATTTCAAAATAGATTGTACTATTGTATGGAAGTGAAGGGCAGTCATTTTGAACAATTATTGTAAAAATTTTTAGTAGTGAAATGTTCATTCTAAATGTATGTAATAAAATTGTTAAAAAATATTTTTTTTAATCCAATTTTCTTGGTTTTGTATTTATTTTTCTCATAAACTAATCACTTCAAGCATCATGTATTATACATTTCTGAAATCAGTACAAAGAGAAGAATCCAAATATCAAATAAAAAAAGGGGGAAGTAATTTAAAAAAAAATAAAGGGATGATACGGGGGGTGAAAGGGTGCATTTCCCAACAACCTTAAATATGATATATTGTCTCCCCCTTCAAATATTAATTGACGTGTTTTTTCGTTTTTCCCTAAAAATGTTCAAAAGTTATTTAAGGTGGATAGATTTATCTGAAAAGCACTGTATACCTATATATATACATATATATATATATATATATATATATATATATATATATATATATATATATATATATATTATAGAACAATACATCTTACCCTAGATCTTCTTCTCATCATGGTGAAAAATTCCTGATTTTTAGTAGTTCCAGGTGCTAAGAAAGGTATTATGTGGTGATCTACAGATAAAAAATAAACTTTTATTGCAAAACAGAACTACAAGATGGATTTTATGAAAATAATATACATAATACAACAATAATAATCTCCAATAAAACAAAATCAAACCGGAGATTAATTTTAAAAATATCTTTTAACAGGATCATCATAACTAAGTTTCCGTTATCTAAGTTTCCGTTATCTAAGTTTCCGTTATAAGTTTTTTTTAGAAAATATTTCTTCTATTTATATTTCAAGTTTGATATTCTACGTAGCAGTCTTTTCGCAAAGTTACCTACTAAAAATGAACACTAAACATCTAACTAACTAACTAACACTAAACAAATATTTTTAAATTCTTAGTTTGCGTATATGACTAACAAGATAATCCTCACATCCAGCTTTAAATTTTCTGTACTGCCCTGAATTTACTTGCAAAAATTGCATAAGTAGGTATTAAAGAAAAAAAAATTGTGAGTAAAATAACTAATTACTATCAGGTCGATTTTGTCGTTCAGATTGCCAAGCGAGCTGGGCGGCCGGTATCTCATTCGCTTCACTGCGAGTGATTCAGTGGATGTGAGTTCGATCCCCAGCTTGGTGTACAGAAAACAAAAAGGCTAACGCAGCAGTTTAAAAGTCAAGATGAATCTGCGGCTTAGACCAGAATATGCTGGTGTCTGTTCGGCCTATGGTGGAGCAGTACGGCAAGAGATAAGGGCTTGCGGCTCGATGATACTCCTTCATAGATCCCTACCGGAAGGGCGTACCGCCTAAATACCGGTATATGTATATATATATATATATATATATATATATATATATATATATATATATATATATATATATATATATATATTATATATATATATATATATATATATATATATATATATATATATGTATATATATATATATGGTATATGTATATATATATATATATATATATATATATATTATATATATATATATATATATATATATATATTATATATATATATATATATATATATATATATATATATATATCGGAAAAAGGAGTACGACCGTCAAATTCCAATATATAAAAGGATCACTCAACAGAGTGGTGGGCTCTTATATCGGTCAATTTGTAGGTGGAGAAATGAAAGACAAAGTTGATGTGCCACTCTATCTATGTTGAAAATGTTTCGCTTTCGTATTCTGAAAGCATCATCAGTTCATTCTTAAAAAGACATGTAGCAGTCAAAGATGTTAACAAGCTTATGAATTAAACTTGAATAAATGGACAATATAAAGTAGAAATGTATAAACATTTAATTTACTAACAACATTTAGTGACTTATTACAAAATTAGCACAGTGAGTGACCATGTGGTCTGAAGTATAAAAAATATATTGAATTATAACTTAAATGATGCAAAGAACTAAGAAAATCAACGATTAATTTCCAACTATGGATAATTATTAAGCTTTAATTTTAACTTTTGGTAGCATTATTAAAAGATGTTAATATAATTTAAAAAAAATAAGTGTAAATGAATGAAGTTACCGGTCTAAGCCTTACACATGCTACCACGAAAATGGCGTTAGATTCAATCTAACGTACTAAATAAATAAAACTTACTTTCTTTATAGACTAAATAGTACTCCATTTTATTGTTAAATAGTTCTATACCTTCATAGTTTGGGCTGTATAAATGAATGTTTAAAAACTTCATTTTTTCGTCAAGCATGTCGATGTTTTCTGAAAATTCAAAAATATATTTTTTGTTAAATATATTGTTACGAACATGCTTTCGGCATGGCCTATGTAACGGTTGCATCTCGAAAAGGCGCCGAGAAACTTCGCGATGTATCGAGTGCGAGAGAGAACAATCCGTCACGTAGGCGAATTAGAGGTGGGAATGTTCTAGAACATAGTAACTTTGGTATATAATTACATGTAACGATGTTAGGAGTAAGTTGGAGTTAATAAGATAGTACCGAACTGTAAAGTTATAAATAAATATATTTATATAAATTCGAACCGCTCGTTTTATTTAATCTCGCTACAATATTAAAAAATGTCAAATTAAACAGTTTAGTTAAGAACATCGCGAGCATCGACACGAAGCGAAACAAACCTGAGTTGAGAATGGCAAGTGAGCCCTTGCCGAAGCATCGACAAGAAAATGATTTGGCTAAAAGTCAAAATTATCCTGAGTCAAACTAGTTTTTCAAACGCATTCTATTTTTTTTAACTACTAACAAACGGATTAGCCGCTTGTTATTGGTATTGTTATTTATATGTCAAAAGCCCAAATAGGGACATTCACCTGCAGTGCATCTCTTGCAGGTCCGTTAAAGCCGGCCCCGAACTATTGGTAGACATTGGGAAAGATAAACGGGGCTTGTTACCATTTAAGATCATGCCAACCAAAAATTACCTGAAATGTATCGTCAATGACCCTCAGATCCAAAACGAATATGAATGCTAGGCCCAAGAAACCATCCATTATCTTATTAAGATCTGCCAGCGATTTACTTCAGCTGCATGTAAGAAACGGCATGATTCAGTGGGAAATATCCTTCATAAGGAGTTAGCTAGCCAACTAGGACTTCTTAAAACTAACTAGTTAAGTTCCTTACATCCATACATCCCTGATTGTATTCTTGAGAATGATAACTACCAGCTATTTAAACTAAGCATATTAAAATAGAGCAGATTTATTTAAATAGAGCAGATATTATACGTTAATAAAGTAAATAGACAAACTACACCAATTGATGTGGCTATATCTAACAAAAATCTGCGTCCATAATTCAAATACGAGAAGACGATGGAGGATGAAAAATACCCAGACGATTTCTATTAATCTCTCTACTACTAAAGTTATTCCGTAGAACCTCATAGAAAACATAAAAAAGTTGGGTCTGAGTGAACATCTCAATAAGACCATGAAGTGTATGAAAGTATTAAAAAGACACTCCAGGATATTAAGTCACTTAGGACTCCATAACACGAAAAGAGCCCCACCAGAGCTCAATCCTTTTGATACTGTAGATATCTGGGATGGATAAATTTCCCTTAGAGGAAGTGAGAGCCGAATGATTTAAATCTGAATAATATAATATAAATGAATTACCTTTTTGCTCTCTTGGTATGCCAACAATTTCAAGAATATAGTCTAGAATAATCCCAACGAAACAGTCAGGATTAAATAGAAGTCGTTTGTTTTCAACAACTGCAGACACAGTATCTTCATCAACTTTATAATTTTTACGAAATTGACAAAAGTCCGTGTAAGCTGAAAAATTATTATTATTAAAAAATCGTTAAAATACATACTTCCTAAGTCTTAAAAAAAGTCTTAGTTACATTTATTATTTAAAAAATCTGACCGGCAAAATTTTAGCAAATGTGTGCATGTTATTGGCATACTTTATCTTAAATGTTTTGTAATTGTTCTGAATAAAACTGTTCTGTTACTTACACATCAGTACATTCAATTTAACAGCAATATTCTACAATTAATTTGTTGTCAAATTGACCGAATCGCTGTATTATTTCAATAAAACGGTGCCTGGTATCTGTACAAATTCATAAATTTGGGAGTTAAATAAAAATTATTACCGCAATAAAACAATGAAGAATAAGAAACAAACTGCATTGCTATAGGATGAAAATGGTAAAGTAATATTTGAAGTAGAGGACAAACTTAAAGAATGGGAAAATTACGTCGCGAACCTTTTCGAAGACGATAGGAGTAGTTCACTTCCCGATATTACTAACTGCAACGGACCCCTAATAACACGCTTTGAGGTTATAAAGGCCATCCAATCATCAAAAGATGGCAGAGCGACTTGTCCTGATGAAATTCCAACGGAAATATATAAGCTTATAAATGATAGCAATGTTTTAGAGGCTATAACTTCGTTTTTTCAATACCATTTATACCAGCGGACAACTACCTAATGGTTGATCTAATTCACTGTTTATAGCTCTACCTAAGAAGACAACACCAAAAACCTGTGCTAATTATAGAACCATCAGTTTGTTAAACCACTTATTGACAATTTTTATGAAGGTAATGCATGGTCGTATCTACAATAAATGCGAGGAATACCTGAATGACACTCAGTTTGGTTTCCGTAACGGGTTTGGAACGAGAGAGGCACTGTTTGGAATGAACGTACTTGCTCAAAGATGTCCTGATATATCTGTAGACATATACTGTTGCTTTATTGACTTCCAAAAGGTATTTGACCGTGTTAAGTACTCTATATTGATCGAATCTCTAAAAGACATTGGCTTGGACGGCAGATATGTTCGAATAATTGCAAATTTATATTGGAATGAAACAAACAAAAGCACTTTCTGAAAAACAAGAAGGAATACTTGTGAACGGCGAAGTCATCAGTAGTTTGCGAGATGCGGACGATACAGTACTCCTAGCTTCTAGTCAAGAAGATCTGCAAACACTACTTGATAGTGTCGTTGAGAGTTGTAGGAAAGCAGGTCTGGATCTTAACCTAAGGAAAACCAAAATACTCGTAATAAGTAAACAACAGCCTATAAAACCGTCTATATATGTAAATAATACCAAACTTAAGCAAGTTGATAAAATCGTTTATCTCGGATAGCAATTAAATTGTAACGCAGAAAGTCACGACGAAATTAGATTCAGGATAGAGCAGGGTAGGGCTAAAAGCTAGGAACAGAGACCTAAAACTGGCATTACGGATCCGCCTACTTCGCTGCTAGGTGTTCTCGGTCTTCTTTATGCTGTCGAGTCCTGGACTGTGAATAAAATCGATCTAAATTGGCTTGAGGCTTTCGAAATGTCGTGCTATAGAAGAATTTTAAAAGTTTCCTGGGTGGCAAGACTACTGAGATCATAAAAAGCATCAAGCAGAGAAAGTTGGAGTATTCGGACATGTAATAAGAGGTCCCAAATATAGGCTGCTACAAAATATCATGCAAGGAAAAATATCAGGCAAACGCAGTCCATGACGAAGAAGAACCTCATGGTTGAAGAACTTGCGAGATTGGTATGGTGTTGATACAAGCATGCTATTTAGGGTGGCAGTGAATAAAATTAAGATAGCTATGATGGTAACCAACGTTCTGAAAGGACATGGTACATGAAGAAGAAGAATAAAACAATTTTTGAAGTTGCAGATGAAATTAATATTCCTAACACTACAGTGTGGAATATAATTAAGCATTATGAGGAAACATGAAGTATCTTAGATAAAAAATGTAAAATGCCGGATCGTCCAAAACTACTGGCAAACTTACAGCTGAATGAAATCATGAAACTGGATTAAATCTGTCAAATAAATGCTGTCGCAAGTAGAAACATAACCTTTAAAGTTTATCAGGTTGAGTTACAGGTAGCAACTTAAAAGTGTACTCTTGGTTTAATATTTTTACCATATTTTGCTCTAGGCAAAGGAAAAGCCACTGCTGATTACAAACTAAAGCAAGCCAGACTCATTTGGGCAAAATCTAAACTTTCTTGGTCGGTAGTAGATTGGTTTCGAGTAATTTGGGCTTATATGGCAGTTTCAGGGTTAAGATATTTTTAATTTTTTAAGGGTAACGTAAATTCTGCGAAATATCAACAAATACCTCAAAAGAGCCTACTACCAAGTATTGTAATATTTAGCAAGAAAGCAGCCTGTCATACGGCCACAATCAGCAACTGGTTTGGAAACCACAATATAAGTGACATTTTTTAGCCTTCTAACAGTCCTGACTAAACGTCATTAAAACAGTATAGCATAAAATGAAATAGACACTAACTAATAACCCACAACAGATATTACATGAACTTAAACCAAAAATAGAGCAGATTTGCAATAAATTTACCTCTGAACAATGCAGATCCTTGTTGAGTAAATGCTCAACCGAATTCGAGCGGATATAAAGTCCAAGAACGATGCTGCTCTTACGTAAAAAAATATATGAGTCATATTAAAAACCCGCAAACATATCTATTACTAATATTCTGTTCATTCACGATTTTTCTAGGTATTACCTACTTGACAGACGAAAGTTTCCCCTTCGCTATAAAGACAACCAGTCTATATCCATGAGATAGTAGGATAAATTATTATAAATAAACTTTAAGTCAATTAAGTTTGTGTTATAAATATTGAACCTTAAGTAAAATAAATTAAGAACAATAAATTAGAATTGATAAAGACTCAACACTATTCTGTTTTAAAAATAAATATTGTTTCTATGTCCCAATATTTAGTTGCCAACAAAATAAAAATTCTTTATTATTAATTAGTTTTGTTATAGTAGTTTATTTTGTTTTGTGTTGCTAATTAAACTTATTAGTAATTAACTAATTACATATTAATACATTAAAAAACATGATTAGAAAAAATAAACTGTCAACTATCTGAATTTTGTATGCACTTTAGTTTGTTCCATTATTATAGTTGTTAGGGCTCGTATTCAAACGGACTAAAAACTGACACTTTCAAACTCTGTAATTCAAAAACAATTGATTTATGAGTCTTGGGATAATGAGAACTTATAATCAGCATGGCCAACGACCAGCTGCAAAGTGTAAGCCAATTGAACTGAAACCACTTTCACATTAAAAAAGCGTTGGCGTCCTGTATGTTTTGTAAAAAATGTGCGCTTTGTTGCTTAGGATGTTTTATCAAAAACCCATCGATATATCGAGAAACATACCAGTTATTGGATAGCTTTTTTTCAACTTCAAGACGCTGCCGCTGGTTTAATTTTCAACGGATATTATTCTGCTAAAAGAAAACTAATCACGTTTAAAACTGAGAACAATGAAGAAAGAGATCTAGGAAAAATAGTAAAAATCGCAGAAAGATATTACACAGACCTATACAGTTCTAAAAATGACCCACCACTATCATCTAAACAGAATCTCTCGAGGAAAATACAAAATGTTGGCTCAGAGGTATTACCAGAAATAACTGAAGATGAAATCGAAAAATCCATAAACGACATGAAAAGAAATAAAGCGGCCGGTCTGGACAAAATACTGGCGGAACTGCTAAAAGAAAGAAGAGACACGATAAAAAAAAATGCTAAAAATACTGTTCAACAAATGTCTGTTTGAAGGTAAAATACCTAAACAATGGAGAAATGAAAACACAATCTTAATACATAAGAAAGGAGACCGAACAGACCTAAACAACTACCGTCCTATTTCCCTTTTGTCACAACTATATAAAACCTTCACAAGAATAATAAATAACCGACTAACCTATAAACTTGATAACTACCAACCAGTGGAACAGGCCGGATTCAGGAAAGGATACAGCACAATCGACCATCTACATGCGCTTAAAATCTTAATTGAGAAAACCAATGAATACAACCTTCCGCTGTACTTGGCATTCGTAGATTATGAAAAGGCTTTCAACAGCATTGAACACTTGGCGGTGGAAGAAGCTCTGGTCAATAGTAGCATAGATTCAAGATACCGACAATTGATACATGATATTTAAAAAAAATGCAACCATAACCATAATTCTGGACGACAAATAAATAACGGATAATATAAAAGTTAAACGAGGAGTCCGACAAGGCGATATAATTTCACCTAAACTGTTTACCTTGACCCTCGAAGATATAATAAAATCATCAGATTGGAAAAACAGAGGAATATGTATTAACGGAAAGTACCTAAATCACATTAGATATGCGGATGATATACTCCTGATCTCTTCGGAACGACAAGAACTAGAATTAATGCTGAATGAACTTCATGAAAAATCACTGCAAAAAGGTCTAAAAATTAACTTCAACAAAACAAAAGTAATGACAAACACGGAAGACCAAGAGGCAATAAAAATACAAACAGAAAAAATAGAACAGGTAAATGAGTATATTTATCTAGGACAAGCAATCAGAGCTAACAGAGAAAATCAAACCGCCGACATATCGAGACGAGTAAGAATGGGATGGGAAGCGTTCGGCAAACTTTCTTACGTTCTAAAAAATCAAACAATCCCTCTATACTTACGAAGCAAGGTATATAACTCCTGTATAATACCGGTGCTCACCTACGGAGCACAGACATGGACATTTACACAGGCCAATTTGAATAGGATAAGGAAGGCACAAAGAGCGATGAAGAGACAAATGTTGGGTATATCACTTAAAAATAGAAAACGTAACCAGTGGATCAGAACCAGAACAAAGACAGTAGACTCGATAGAACAAGCAGCAAAACTGAAATGGAAATGGGCTGGACACAATGAACGTCTCCAAGACGGACGATGGAACAATGCCATCGGAAAGTGGCGTCCATACAATGCAAAGAGATCAAGAGGCAGACCACAGATGAGGTGGAAAGATGACATCAGAAAACAAGGAGGTCCCAGATGGCAGAGAACAGCTCAAGATAGGGAAAGATGGGGAGAACTGGGGGAGACCTATATCCAACAATGGAAGGATCGAGAATAGGTTAAAAAAAATTATTCTGCTATGCCAGATCATCGTATACATATATAATATTTTAAGTTAACGTGTTTTAAATATTCCCATTATAACAGTTTTTTTATAAAATTTGAAAAGACCTGAACGGTTTCAAAAAGTTAGTTATTGGACAAAAAATTCAACTATTGGACTCAAAATTTTCAGTTATTGGACACTGTCAAAATAATTATTATAAGCAAGTAAAAAGTTGAAATCACTGTTCAAAAACTACTATAAATCACTTATATTTTTTCATTTCATTTCGGTACAGATTAAATAGTTCTTCGATGGCATTATTTTCTGACATCTGGCCCACTGTTGCTTCATAGTCTTCAACATTTTCTTCATTTGCCATTTTTGGTTCCTCACACATTTTGCTCTTAGTTTTTAAAGGATGGTCTGTTTCGATCCCTTCTTCATTTTCTATTTCTCCCTTTTTATTAGTTTCATTACCTTCGCTACTTTCTGCTTGTTTCAGTTCGTTGCCCACATTGCTTTAATTTCTTTCTGAGCCTTTATTTCATTATATTTCTCATTTCCAAATTCTTGGCATCTTGATTTCACATGATTCCACATCTTGAAATGAACCACACGCACGAAATCTATTAATTAAAGTTTCCCTCTTAATATTATTCGCCACTACTTTTTCCAATAGTGAGGCAACTGTCGTTTTGTTTACAACTTCTCCAGGATTTTGTTCGTTAAATTCCCTAATGGCCTTTTTCCACCCCACTTTTACGGGCCTGAATACTGCAACATCACAAGGTTGAAGAATTCGGGTTGCATTCGGATATAAGGCTATAACGTCATTTTTTTTACAAATATCCTTTTTTACCTGATTACCTTGAATCAACTGCCATCAGGTCTGCCGTTTTTAAAGGATTAGGCCGTGGATTTTCAGTCAAAAATGTTTGAACTCTATTTAAAATATCCTCTCATTTCCTAGGAAATCCTTTTGTTGCCAGCTATTCTATCCACCTGCAAAAATAAAAACAGTCACTTAACACAGATCAACATATTACCTAAATTAATTAACTTTACCGTTCAAGATCGGACTAGAATTGGATTTGGACCGCATGTGTTTTTATGACCAGGATTTTTGATTTTAAATTCCAGCGTCGATTTCGGTACACCGTATTTTTTGCCGCATTTCTATATAATATATTATTATTCTTAACTTCATTTTTATTGGGCCTGATTGAAAACTAGACACATAAAAAACTGTGTAAATAAATGTTTCAGTTATAGGACAGATTGTGGACCAGTTATTGGTCCACATATACCCATATGTTAATTTTAGTTATTGGACACCCATCTAACACATAACCTAGACTTAAATATAGTGATTTACACCTTAAAAAAGTTACTTTTACTAGCTACCACTAACTTGTATATTTATGCGGGACACTGTGGTAAAATTATAATACTAAAATTCACCTAGGACTTCTTAAAATAGCGTTAAGAAAACCGTCTTTTTGGTGCATAACCAAAGAATCTCGCATTTGGAGGTAAAACAAAAACTTCAGTCAAATATTCTTTATGTCAATATTAATACTAATAGTACAATGGTAACATCTCAATAAAACTTAGCTCACTACTGAATATATAATTCTTGTTTTCAGTTAAAATAATTGCGATGTGGGAATAACTCGCAGTGTCCCAATAATTGGAATGATATTACCCTACTTTAGAAACAAAAATTAGCTAATAGTGAAATATTTTAAATTCAAAAGAACCTTTAATGGACATTTTCCACTAAAAAACAAATGATCTGAAAAAACTTGTCGATTGAGAAATAAATTGCAAACGATCAATATAACGTTCTTTGAACGTTAAACTGTTCTGGTAGTTAATTACAGAAAATAATGGCAAACTCCATTAACATCAACTGCTCTTGTACTCTTTGAGGCGCAAACGGAAGCAAAATAGAGGATAGGTATTTTTCAATCAGTGCAAAATTTTCAAAAAGTCGTAGATGTAAAAGTTAAAACGTTTTTTTATATTGACAGGAATTTATTTTGACAATTAGGCCATAATCTCACATATGCACAAAACAATTTTAAATATTGGACACTGATATTGGTTGTATACTTTAGAATAAATTAATTTTTGTTACCTAAATTACTTACATATGTATTGGAGATAGCAAAACATTGTACACTATAAATTCCGTATTTACGTTTATAAAAGTCTATTATTTAAAAACACCAAGTTTGCACCAAAAAATATAACTACAAACGTCAAAACGACAGTTATTTAAACGCCGTGTTAAGCCGACTATAAATAGACTTATTACAAATATACTCCCAGGTCTCCCAGATCACCGTTAAGCCGGGATGGTACTTCTATACCAGCGCATAAAATGTAGTGATGTAATTAGCTGTCGTGGTGTTTGAGTATGGGATAGTGCGAAGATTCTTGATAATTGAAGCTGAATTAATGGAACAAAACGACAGCGTTTGACTATGATTGAGGAAGAGTGTCCATGTTAAGGGTAATCGAGTGTAGTCTTTTATTAAGACAGATAGGACGGTTTTCATTCTTAATGACTTCTCGAATAGTCCTTGGTTTATAAAAATGAGATTGCGGCTATATGGTCATCTGTCTGACCTGTTTAGAGATGATGCTGGGTTTGGGTAGAAATTGAGACGAACTTAAATATTGAAATGAAGTTTTCATAGATTCTGCTTTGAAATCTTGCACAAGGAATTTCATAAACTCCATGTTGTTTCTCTGGAATATTATCCCTTCTTGACGGATTAGACAAGGAAGTTTTTGGTGAAAGCAAAGATTACTTTATTCCTTTTGATTTGAGAAAATAATCTATTCTGAAACTGTTTCGTTGTTAAATCCGCAACGCTCCGGCTGATAAGAGCGTTATGACAATAGCAAAATGAATTAGGCTTCAAATTGCTTGATCATCCAGATTATTTTCCCAATTTGATCCTTTCCGGTTAATATATATTCCCAAATCTGAATAGACGATTGCAACGTCAAAACTGAATATAAAATTTAATTTTAATTACAATTAATAGTTTTTTAATACTATTCTGAAGCTATTTTCTTGTGGTATTTTAAAGTAATTACTATTTAAATGGGAATAAACCACAATTAAAGGTTAAAGTTAGTTTTCTGACGTTTCAATTTCCACTAATGTTTATATTTTGAGAACGATTTCCGAAGTGGAAATTGAAACGTCAATAAATTTACTTTAACCCTTAATTGTGGTTTAAATAGTAATTAATTAATTGTTTAATTTTTAGAACTTGGAAATCTTTTTAATTTGCGCAGATATTAATTTAATATTTTCAATAACATTCCACCCTGTAACTGAGTCATTTTTGTCATAAACTTTTTTATTTTAACCCCCTATTCCATTTAAAGCTAACGCTGCACTGGTTGGCACCTTCATCCCCATTTGTTTGTATTTTTCTTGGTTTCTAAGTAACGTATGAACTAATTGACCCCTTTCTTTATTTAATGTCGATGTACTGACAGATACAAATATAATAATTTCTTATACAGTTTTTCTTCAAACTATTTAAAAATGGACTGGAAATATTTGCAATCTGTTGATTTAGAAGACTTAAATGACGACGAAAAAGACGATTTATATAATAATGTTACATGGTTTGATGTCGATAGCGAAAATTTGGATGAGAACAGATATAAAGTTTTGGTTAGGTGAGTCTTGCATTTTAGCTTTTGCAGATCAGTTTTATTGTAACATAATTAGTATTTAAAATATCAATTGATGTTTATGTTAAATTCAATAAAGAGACTCTGTCCCTAGACCGTTTGAGATCATGTAGGTTTATAGTCAGATAATTTTTTCGATTATCAATCGCTGACTTCAGTTCTATACAGTTCTATACTATATAGTTTTACTGTATCTGATATCCTACATTTTTAATTTACACCTCATTTCTCTTGTTCCACTCTATTTTTTCCTGTTATGTCTGTTTCCTGTAATATCTTTCTCATCGGTTATCTCTATTTTGGCTTACTCTTCTTTGTTCATGATCTATATTTCGTACGTAAGTAGCGTTGATCGTGTAACATTGATTTTTTTTATATTTTAATTTCTTTAAACTTTTAAGTTTCTAAATTTAAATAGATTAAGGTAATACACAAAAGATCTTGTTAGATTATACGGCAAAAAAGGTTTCAAATATTTTTAAGGAGATGAATGTATCGACATTATAAGGATTATCTTACGGTGTTATATTTCAGCTAGTATGACTTATAATCAGCAATTATTTACATACAAAATTTCCTCCTACTTAATAACTTACTTAATAAAATATCTTTAGGGCCTGCCAGGAGATTTTAAAATACAAGGGAGAACAAGTAGAAACTCTTTTACATGAATTAGAGGAGATGGCTATTAAGCAAGCAGAAGAAGAGGCTAGAAGACAAGAAAGTGAAGCTGATGTGAAAAGCTCTAAATCGAAAAAATCGAGTTCGTTAGAATACGAAAGTAAGTCAATATTTTAAAATTGCTTTTAAGATGAGTTTTGTTTCAGAAATTTCGGCCACACAAAATAAAATATGCTTTATTTAATTGCGTTAAACTTTGTTTAGAAATATTGTTTAGAAATATATTCTAATAAGAAAATAGTTAAAATCTTAGTTCAATTTTGTAGTATCGATCTTTTAGGTGGTCGATATTTAATTTAGGCCATCTAGAATGGATTCGGAAAAAATCAAGAGATAATTTAAAATATTTAAGTCTTGATATCCATTTTGGAATTTTGTTAATATTCCTTCTAGCTTTTTTGTACACTCGTTGAATTTTTCTTGCTTAATATTTAAAATAAAAATACAATTTATTTCTGTTTTAATTAAGTTCACATATATTTTTTTGTAGATTTAGAACACAAATATTTGGAACTAAAAGCGAAACATAAAAAGGCTGTTAAAATCAATGAAAAACACGAAGGTGAACTGACAAAGGTAAGTATAAATTTAAAAACAAATCATTAGAGGAGACGTGAGAAAGTTTTAAAGTTTTATTCCAAGACTTGGGCAATAATAAAAAACGGTAGTATGTGATGCCGAGTGACGTGGATTCAATTGCAAAATAGAGCATTGTTTTTATATCGAAGAAAACTATAAAAACTGAAGGGGACTATCATGAAACATGAACTTCGCATGCTTCGGAAAGTGGTTCGAGAACATTCTTCAGGATGTTGATGGTAACTAATGTCATAGTGTCATATGGATAATGCATCTTGTCACATCCGCTTTGTTAAACACATTCCAACGATGATTGCTCGAAAAGTCGCCAGGCGAAGCTAACTACGAGAAAAATGCATTCAATTCAAGAGGATATGGACAAAGCAGAATTAATGACGATAATGAAGGAGCATAGTAGTATATATCGTCAATATAGTGTTTATTCAATATTGAATTTAATTAAAGTAAAATGGGCTCAAATCAGGAGATATGTGGTCTGGAAGAAATGAGAAACATAGTTGGCCGTGTATTTAAAATAAATAAAATATTAGATTAAGGTAATAATATAATAGATTAAAGCAGCGCAATATTAGCATATCAGCGCCATCCCCCCATTACTCCCAAAAACGTTAATTTTTCGTTTTTTTTTTTCATTAAAATTTAAGGCTTTTACAAAACTCGTCTTTTTTTTATAGACCCGTAGGTTGAGTGGACATAACCTAAAAATCCATTTTTTTTAAAAGCGTATAACTTTGTTTTGGATGGGAAGAAAACGATGGGAAGAGTATATGGAAGAGCTCTTCGACGACGAAAGAGGAAACCTACAAGACTTGTCTTTTGAGGACAGAGAAACAAGTGTAGAAATTACAAAGGAAGAAATACTGTATGCACTAAAGAACACCAGAAACGGAAAAAGCCCGGGGCCAGATCAACTGCATAATGATATCCTTAAAATAATAGAAAATAAATACATTGATGTCCTCTTAAAGCTTTTTCATAAAATTTATCAATTGGGTGACATACCCAACGAATGGTTGACCTCAACATTCATTTGTCTCCCAAAAATGAAAAATACTAGAGAATGCACTGACCACCGTACCATAAGCCTGATGTCTCACACACTTAAATTGTTTTTAAAGATCATTCATAAACGCATTTACAAAACACTTAATATGGCTATTGAAGAAACTCAATTCGGATTTCGTAATGGCGTAGGTACTCGTGAAGCTCACTTTGCATTCAACGTACTAATCCAGAGATGCTTGGATGTGAACCAAGATATGTATGTCTGTTTCATAGACTACAACAAAGCTTTCGACAAAGTCCGCCACAAAGAGCTAATGGACATCCTCAAAGCAAAACAACTACAAAATAATGACCTTCGAATTATAACAAATCTATATTATAAACAGCAGGCACACGTACGCATTAATGAACACACGTCTGAAGAATTCGAAGTTAAAAGAGGAGTGCGACAGGGGTGTGTATTGTCACCACTACTATTTAATGCATACTCTGAAGAAATTATGAAAAGAGCTCTTGAGGGAGAAACAGCAGGAATCAAGGTCAATGGAACACCAATTAACAACATTATATATGCGGACGATACTATCATAATAGCAGACAACCTACAAGACCTCCAAAAGCTAATGAACAAGATAGTTGAGTATGGAGAAGAATATGGATTATCAATAAACACCAAGAAAACCAAATTTATGAGGATATCAAAAACCCAAAATAATGGTGAAAGCCTGAAAATTAACGGTAGTGCTTTAGAGCAAGTTGAAAACTACCACTATCTTGGCACAATAATTAATCACACAAACGATTACTCCAAAGAAATTCAAATAGAGAAAGCACGTACAAACTTCAATAAAATGAGAAAGGTACTTTGTGCAAGAGAACTAAAATTGGATTTGGGAGTTAGGCTGGCAAGGTGTTATATGTTCTCTACTCTGCTTTATGGGATGGAAGCATGCACACTTAACGCGTCGACTGCTAAATTGTTAGAAGCATTTGAAATGTGGGTGTATAGAAGAATCCTGAAGATATCATGGACCGAACATGTAACAAACAACGAAGTCATGAGAAGAATCAACAAAAGAATGGAAGTATTGGAAACCATCAAGACACGAAAGCTGCAATACCTGGGACATGTTATGCGTAATGAGATATACAACCTACTTCAATTGATTATACAAGGGAAAATCCAGGGCGAGAGAAGTGTAGGAAGACGAATAATCTCATGGTTGCGTAACTTGAGGGAATAGTACGGATGTACATCAATTGAACTATTCAGAGCAGCAGCATCTAAGATCAGAATAGCTTTGATGATTGCCAACCTCCGTCGCGGAGGTGGCACGTGAAGAAGAAGAAGATAACTTTGTTTTGGAGAAGGCTGCAGAACTGATTTTTTTTTATTTTATATATGTGATCAAAAACTATTTCTTCATTTTTTCAGATTTTTCTGTATGTTGCGCCATCTTGAAAAATCCGAAAGACAGTTTGTTTTAGGGAATTTGATATATTTTGTCTATAAAATGGAGAAAATCACCCAAAACAAAAAAACGGTTTTTCATGTATTTGGAGATGGCGCACCTTACAAAAAAATCTGAAAAAAATCAGAGATATAGTTTTTGATTAACTACACAAAAAAAATTTGAACTTGCAGTCAGCTCCAAAAAAATTATGAGCTCTTGAAAAAACGTATTTTTACGTTATATATACTCAACCTACAGATACATAAAAAATAAACATATTTTGTAAAAGGCCCAACTAGGCGTGCGAATTTGTTGACATTTTTAAATTGATTGAAACCTACCGAAAAGACAATAGAAACCAAAAAATCTCGTTTTTGGGACAGGATGAAGAGGTGATGGGCTAAAATTGCGCTGTCTACAATTAGTAGATCAAGTTACATTTATGAGTCACCCTCCCCAATTTTTTGTCGAGGTATAGTCTGTTACAAGGATAACATTAAAATTGTTCACGTGAATTATTTTAGAAGTACAAGAAAGTAAATTTAAGTTTAACTTATTATCTTAATTTGTCAATCTAGCTTTTTTAGTTAGTATTATCAATTTCATTTAAAAATAATTCAAGCGAGAAAATTTTCTTTATTTACAGCTAAACAATAAGCTAAAAGTTCTAGAACAAGAGAACAAAAGATTACAAAATGAGTTACAAACGATGCCGCACGATGCTGGTAGCGAATCCGATTATTCAGAGAGTATTAGAGACCGTCAAAAGGAGTTGGTGGAAACTATACACAATAAAAATATACAGATATCCGATTTACTTCGAGATATTGAGGTAAGACTATTTAACGTTTAGATAGGGGTATATAGAAATTTTTCGGTTATCACACAGAAACACAGTTTTCGAAAATTTATATCTACTAACCAGTAGACAGTATTTTCATAGAGATTTTCTAAAAACGCATATCGCATTTATATATCTGGAACAAGCGGGTAAAGAGACACGAAGTATTTGAAATTAAAGAAAATGAGGATATCCAATATACCTGATCACAATAATCAAAAGTCTGTTTAGAAATATAAATATAAGGTACTAATGAAATGCAATAAAACGATACATTAATAAAATCTAGCCGAGGAATAAAAAAAGAGCGTGGAAGTGCCGACAAAAGCGAATAATTTAAAGATAAAGTAAAATAGAGTTAGGGCGCAACGGTACTAGTTTGACAAGTGATAATATGTATATTATTATATCTATCGCAAGCTTTAAAAACTCACACACCTGACACTTCAAACCAGTAGCATTGCGCGCTAATTGTCTTTTATTTTTTCTTTGATACCTCGCGTTTTTAACAGCTGGCAACCCTAATTTTAGACAATTTTTTCCGAGGCAAACGTATATCATCATATTAAGAAATAAATTAGCTTTAATTTAATATAAAAAATATGCATATATATCATAAACAGCATATTTTATTTAAAAAATAAATGAATGGGAATAAAATTTTTGTCAAAAATTAATTACTATTAATTGAATTAAAAATATTTGCGGCAACTTTTTGACTGGAAAATCATTATCAGTGGGTTTTCTTAATTTTAAATGTATGACAAAATGTAAGTTTGATTAACTACGTTATGAACGTAACGATCCTGCAGTTGCTTGTTTTTCAACGTTAATAAGATTTTAATGTTTATAATCATTATAATCATCATTATAGCTTTACAACTCTGCGTAAATAATAGCCTCCTCAAGAATGTCTCTCCAGTCGTCCCTATCCATCGCGTTTTTCTGCCAAACAAGTATTCCCATATTTGTCATGTCTTCGACGATGTTATCAAGGAACCTTGTGCTGGGTTTTTCTATAATGGGTCTATCAAGGTGCGTTTTTCTAGCTGGTTCATTTTGGTTCATTTGCATTAAATTCCCTATCCACCTCAGAGGTCCTATCTTAATATCAGGTTCTTGGTATATTCTATAAAGTTCGAAGTTGTATCATCTTTTTCACACTCCATTGTTATTCACTGCTCCATAGATTCGCTTTAATACTTTTTTTTTCGGAACATCTTAACATGTTTTCATTATTTTGTATTAGAGTCCAGGTCTCTGGATCATATGTTAGGACTGGGCATATTATTGTTGTGCAGAGTTTTATTTTTGTATTTCTCCATATAATTGTGGATTTAAGGAGGAGATTGAGCCCAAAATAGCATCTGTTGGCTGTGCAAATTCTGCGGTATATCTCTGCTGTATTATTACCTTCAGTGTTAAGCGGCGTTCACAGGTAAAAAGTATACAAATTCGTTCACTGCTTCGATGCCGTCGTTTTCTATAACAATGGACGTGGGATTTGTGGTTGCGTGTTTACTTTCATTAACTTCGTTTTGTTGGTGTTTATTATTAAACCCATTTTTGTAGCCGATTCTTTTAATGCTACATACGCCTCTCGTACAGCGTTTTCCGTTCTCACAACAATAATGTTGTTATCAGTCAAACACATTAAGCCGTGTAACCACTCGTCATTGTTCAATTCTAAATAGGTTATTTTCTTTTCTTCTAGAAATGCAGTTATCGGATCAAACAAATCTATTAATCGATTTAATACATTATATCTAGATATCCATCTAAGATTCAAAAGACATGAATGTTATTTGGAAGTTCTTCGACCTTTAATTCCTCAATAAATTTTTCAATTTTCAATGATTTTTTACATTGGCGCGAATGTAATTTAGAATGGATAATACTGTTTTCATAATATGAGGATATTTTAAATATTTTGTGGAATTTGGGAATCATGAACCATCTCTTAAAAGCCCAATAAGACCAACTTTTTACCCAGCATTGCCAGAGCTCCATCAGTTGTAATGCTTACAAGTTTATTAAGAGGCACATCAACAGTTTTCATTATGGAAAGATTCTTTTAATGCTACAAATGCCTCTGGTACAGCGTTTTCCTTTCTTTCAACCATATTGATATCATCAGAATTGGTCAGGATTTGCACTGATTATATATTGAACCGTTGGTTGTGATTTGTGACATACGTATTACTTTTTCCAGAGCCAGTTTGAACAGTGTACAGGATAGGGGGACTCACCGGCGCAGCCCGTTATTTGTTTTAAAAGGTTCAGACAGTTTTTCCGACTTCGTACTCTACGAGTACTTTTAATGCTTATAATTGTTTTTAATATAAACATATATTATAAGAAACAATTTGTATATTTAAAAAAATAATCATTATTAAAAAACTATTATTTAATATTCTTAAATGTTTTATACTTATTTCAGGAAGTAGAACAGGAAAATATAGTTTTGCGAGAAAAATTAACTAAAGTCAAGGATGAATTATCATTAGCAACCAAAGATTTAGAAAATCTCAAAGATTTACTATCAGGAAAAGATGAGGAAATCAAAGATCAGGCGGGTAAGTATGACCATATCATTGGCCGTCAAGATTTCTTTATTCTTTGGTACCAGAGTCTAAACAAAATGTTTTTCTAACACACTTTCTAACACGCTTTAAGTCATAAGTAAAATATTTAGCTTTACAGCACTTACAGCTGCTTGAAAGTTGAAAAGAAGATAGAAATTTTCCTCTCGGATATATGTCCTGAGCTTCTATTATAGATATATTACAAATATTTAAAGTCGATGATAATATAGTGACCTTTTTAAAGCATATAATGATGGAGTGAAAGACAAAATTCGCCTTCAAATGCCTGGTGTAAACAACGTCGAAACTAAAGATATCCCAATTAACCAAAGTGGACTCGTTGAGTCCACTTTGGTTATGTCTAGCAATGATCCCATTATCTCAACTATTGAACTCCACTGACTCAGATTTAGCATAAAAAATAACAGTACCGTTGTGTCGAAGTTTAATCATGTGCTATATATTGAGGATTTAAAACACTCCACATTCCACGTACATTAGATGCTAAAAACTATAGAGAAACTCTCAAATGATATCAGTATGTACTTTGGACTAGACAAATGCGGTCTTTTAAATATAGTCAGAGCAAAGATTCAGCCCGAAGGTTTCGATATTTAAGATGACCAAAACACCGTGGCAATGGTGAATTGGTGAAAATGATACCTATTTAACACATCTTGGAGTAAAGCAAGCCCGAAAGATTGACCATAAACAAATGAAAAAAAAACTAGCTACTCATTTGGTATTTTTGAGTGGTCAAAAATGGATACAAAAAGTCTTCGGCGGACAGTAAGAACACTTTTTAAAAGGCACAAAAACATCATCCACGCAATGCAGTAAAGAGAACAACATTACCGCGGTATCTAGGGGAAGACGACTTATGGACATAGTCATCAAACCTATGCATGGACGACATATCAATGAGATGAGCCAGGAAAATATCGACAGTACAGAGTCGAAGTATTGGTTGACATCAAAAAAAAATAATTCCCTAGATCGAGGGTTTTCTACTCGATATTAACGATCAGGTTAAAAATTTTCTGACATATATTGTCAGAGATCGTCAGGTCCAAAGCGACAAACGACAAATACTGATACAAGTGTCAAACCCAAAAAACCATCCAACATCTTACTGTCAGATGTGTGTCGAAGCTAATTATAAAGAACGGCTTGACTCAGTAGGAAAGAATATCCACCAGGAACTAGCTAGCAACCTGGGACTTCTCTATACCAACCATCTCCATTTTTATCAATACCTCCCTGACAGAATGCTTGAAAATGACAATTACAAGCTATATTGAGACCCCACTGTGCTCAAAGATAAAAAATAGTAGCATATAGTAGACCAGATCTCATACGAGTTACTAAATTAACGAGACCAACAATTTTAATATGGCGTTGCCTAAGAACTATAATTTGCGTTTAAATGAAACGAACAATGAAAATATCGCCAAGTACAGAAATCTGGAAACTCAAATACGAAGGTAATGAAGAATTACTGTACTACTCTCGATGTCCAGATTTGCACAACATTTTTTGGCAGGTTCTCTGACGTATTAAATTACCTGGGACTCGATAACACAAAAAAAACCCAGTTAGAGCTCAATCCTTTTGATACCGTAGGTATCCGAGATGAGTGAATTTTTCCCTTAGAAGGAGTGAGAGATACGGCTAAATATGAACCAAAAGATTTACTTATACTTTTATAATTTAGATATATATCAAAAATACAGTTTCTGCTTTAAGTGTGGTTACATTTTTTAGATATTGGTCTGATAGTTATTATAATGATCAAGCAAAATCTTGTCTTGTTATGTGATACCTTACAGTTTTATAGCATCTTTTGAGTTTCGGCGGTTTAATAATTTATTGTTTTATCTTTAATATGCTACATTATTTATTTATATTTTCTCCTGACGTTTTTTCAATACCTAAAAGTATCTTTTGAAGTGTTAAATTAATGTCAGTCGTTTTCTTCCTCTGATTCATTAGATGTTACTTCATTAAATGTTACTTTCCTAATGTGTTTTTGTGGTAACCTGTAATTATATATGTGATATAAGCTTCCATTGTGTATAATATGTATTTCTTCCATTAAATCCAATTTTGTGTCGGTTAGTGATTGCATGGCCCCATTTTTTGTTATTATTATTATTATATATACGTGTCATCTATATGCGTATAATGCCTATATTTATAATTTAAAGATATGGGTTTTCTTAAAGGAAATATAAACAAAATTAACCAAGAATATGAAGAACTTAAGAAAAAATTTGAATCCTGCCACGACGAGAAATTACTGGTCGAAAAAAAATTGAGTGAGACTACTGAAGTCCTAAATAAAAAGGTTGAAGAATTAAAGGTAATATTGAAAACACAACGTTATAGTTTTATTTTATATCCAATTATGTTTTAGGAACAACTATATGCTAAAAATGAAGAAATCGAAAACCTTAGACTACGTCTAAAAGAACCCAGCTTAAATTCCTCTTTATCCAGTCTTCCTAAAGACGATCCTGAACCTTCCCAAACGATAATCCTCCAAAAGTCTTTAAACGATAAAGATCAACAACTTAGAAAACTTAAAGATGTCGTAAGTAGATTTAGAAAAGAAAAAGACGATTTTACAGATATCATCAATAAATTAAAAGCCCAAAAGAAACAAGAACAACAAAAATTAACGGGATTACAAGATAATACAGAAGAGTTAAAGAAACAACTTAAGACTGTACATGAGAGATGTCAAAAGCTACACGATGATTTAGTATTTGCAGAAAAAAATGCTAGATGCAAGGACGAAGAGGTAATATACAGTACTTTCAATATTTTAATATACGAAATATTTAAGTATTATTCGCTTTTTTTCACTTCTCTCCCTTCAAACATAATATTTTATTTATGTGAAATTATTCTGCTAAATACAGTTGTACTCATTTTATACATGCAATGATTTGTTGGCGCCAATACTAACGCCCGTTGAACTTTCACGGCAGCAAATGTTTACACATACATTTTTTATAGCCAGCCTCATTTGTTAAGTGTAACGTTTTGTGGCTGTATGGAACTCCTTTTTTTAAATGGTGTTAAATCAAAATGTCAAGTGAACTGGTTCGTTGTCGAATTTGTAATTTTGGGAACTCCTCTTCACTAGTGCTAGATAGATGAGCATCTTCTTTCTTGAAATCAATACTGTTATAAAGCTATTTTCCGAAGTAAAAATTGAAACGTCAATAAACTTACTTTAACCTTTAATTGTGGTTTATTCTCATTTAATAAGTGATTTCTTGAAATCAAGTTTCCTTTTTACTAGTTGCTTTCCTTTTCCTGAAGAGATGCCTGGTGCTAAACCGTGACCACGACTGCCTTTTGACCTTGACCACGCCGACATTCTATCTTTTCCTCATTTTTGGGATAGTTGATAGATTTTGTCCTCATTGTTGCGCCTTGTAGGGCGAATCAGTATTGACTGTAGACTGACAGCAATTTGAGATACCTTCAAAATATTAAGATTTGTAATAAGAAATTCCAAACACTTTAGTATAAACACAACCATTAGACTATATAACGCTTTAGTCAGACCAAACTTGGAATATGCATCAGTGGTATGGATTCCTGAAGCCAAAGTTCATATTAATCATATAGAAAAGGTACAAAAAAGATTTCTAAGGTATTTATACCTAATAAAATACAATGTGTTTACTCACCTCAAATACTACACCATCAAAAGAGTTGCTTCAAATATTTGGCTTGCAGTCATTAGAGCAAAGAAGAAATATGCATTGTGTTATGTTTATTTATAATATTATTAACAATGTTAAATATAAGACATTCGGTTTGATTAACTTTATTAGGTTTCATGTGCCAAAGGTCAACATAAGGGTAAACAGTAATCACCTATTTTTTGTAGTCCATATAATTTTTGTGCAATAATAAACTGTATGCAATATCAGTGTAATGCGTTAATAAAGATCTGTGATATAGACCTCTTTAACTGTAGTGTAAGGGATATTAAAACTTGTTTAATGGACTCAATTTTAAAATTTTATTCACTTGTGTCTTTTTTTAATGTGTTTACTTTTTGTGTTTTTATTTTGTACTTGTGTTTATATTGTATTTTTTTGTATTTTTTGTGTGTATATTGTTATACCAAGTAATGAGCACTCTTACATGTAATTACTACCTAGGTGGTGTTTGTAAGTTTTAATAAATAAATAAATAAATCAATAAATAAATAAACTAAGACGCCTTTCTCTAGTTATCCCAGTGCTTGCTCGAAGATACGCTCCGAGTACATGTTAAATAGCACTGGAGACAGAATGCATCCTTGTCTCACTCCTCTGTCTATGAAGATTGTCTATGTCTGGTCATCCACTTTAGTGTTGGTAGGGTTGTAATATAAATTATATATAATTCGCAAGTCATATCATCTAAGCCAGCGTCTTTCAAGAAGGATATGATCCTGTCATGTTTTACTGTATTATATGCCTTTTTGTAGTCGATAAAACAAATATATACATCACAGTTGACGTCTCTACACCTCTAAATAAGCACTTGTATAGCGAATAGAGTTTATCGGGTGCCTAAGGTATCGTGGAATCCAAATTGTGTCACTTTTAAAAACTTTTTAAGTAAGTGGCTCATTAGGCTAATTATTCTGTAGTCTTCGCATGTTTTTGCATTTAATTTTTGTTAGTATAGTTACGAAGGTTGACTTAAACCAGCTTTGGGGAATATTTCCAGTTATATAAATTTTGTTAAATATAGTCGTTTTCCATTGTATTCCTTGTTCGTCCATAAGTTTGACGAATTTTATATTCAATTTGTCAGACCCTACAGCTTTACCATCTTCAGTTTTTCTAATAGCTGCCGTGACTTCTTCAGTGGTAATCGGGGTCCTGTTTGGTATTCTATGTCTTCAATGGTAATCTGTCTTTTATCTGCAAATGTTACTTTCACATATTTCTGCCAAACATTCAACTCTTCTAGGCTTGTATAAGCCTGCAGCTATCTTTTTTGGGCATATGGAATGGATCGTGTTTATGTTGTAATAGCTGTATTTCCGTACATTGTTCTCTCAGCTGTGTGTCCTTAGACATTCTGATTGCTTTTTTGATCTCTTTGTCTATTCTTTTGTATAATGTCTTGTCCTGATCTCTAACCTTTCGCCTATTTTCCATCATATCTAGAATCTCATTTGTCATCCACAAACAATAGCGAGGCAATAATACTATGGTAATATCTACCTAGATCAATGACGTTTATGTTCTGTGTATGGCTAAAGTGCCCATCCAAATAAATAATACAGGCTTCTCCTCTGAAAGACGACACCACTAAATAAAATGTGAAAACCATTGGGGGTATTAAACCAGAAGGATGCACTGCAAATATAGTCCCCTGCGGTACACTTTTGTTCAATTGCTCACTTATGTTTTTGCATGGAAAAATTACTAGAAGAAGCATAAAAGAGCCAGCAGCATTCCTACAGCAGACAATAGTATAATAGGCTCTCCTGAAGTCAAAGCACCTATTTGCTTTTCTCCTTCATGCCGACTACTTTCGCAACATTGGATTCTATCACAGTGATTCCGCTGTCGTTCACATTATAAATTTTATCTGGATTAAACTTTCTTTTATCGTAAACATTCTCTAAAATGTTGTAAAACTTCTCTGTATTTTCTTTGCTGAAATCAAGGGCCTGTAAGATGTACCAGACGGTGTTCATTCTGACAATTAGCTTGAGGACGTTTTAAAAAAAGTCGAATCCGCTTCCTTGCCATTGCGGTTGCCATTCTTTTTGGCCAACTAAACAGCCATTCTCCTTAGGTCACTAGGAGTAAGCCCAAAAAAAAACGAAGCCTCTATAGCAAGACAATAATTGACAAGCTCATTCTCAAAGCTATTGCTTCAAATTGTACGTCTGCACCTTTTAATTTTCACTACTTGCTCTGAAGCGCCTTATTTCATATTGGATAATCTCATTAGCGTAGTTTTCGGTACATTATACTGGTTACTTGCTTTTTTCCAACCCATGTTTTTACGTCTAAAAGCATCTATAGCTTCTTTAATTTTTTATGGACACCACCAATTCTGCTTTGGTTTTGGCTTAGGCATGCTAAAACAGAAAACTAAAAGAATACGTTATATGCGATGGAAGCTGACATTTTTACAATAAAAATGCAGTGTTCGATTTAGGAACAAGCATGGAATCCAATTTGAGCAACCATACTATCAGATTTATAATTAAAATAACATTTTTAATAAACACATGATCCCAATCCTTCTCATTAAAAAATGTATATAGAGATTATTACTTACCTTCCAGTCTCCTGCCAGTAACAATCAAAAAGGAGGTCGGTCTTTATTGGTTGATGACGTTCAAAACGTTTGTTGCCTACAATCTTATTGTGTGACAGTTTGACCGAGTGACACAAACGCTCCAATATATAGCGGCGAAAGCATAAACTAATGTTAAGTGGCATTCCTAACAGAGTCCAGCACATTGAAGAATCAGAAAGCCCCGCTTAGGTGCCGGAGTTAGAATTTAGATACTTTCCTTCAATTATTTGACAAAAACGTCTCAATATGTTTTCAGAGTAAACTCCTTGCCCATTTATTCCTTAATAATTTGTCTTATATATAATTAAAAAAAAAAATTGATTCTAGTTAAAAGATTTATTGAAACAACTTCATGGAGAGGGAAAAGACGAATTGGCTGTAAATATACAAACACTGTCAGAACTTAAATCGGAAAACCGCTCCAAGGAGAAACAAATTATTTCTCTGGTTAAGGCAACTAATAAATTACAAGAGGTATCAGATATTTTAGAAAAAGAAAATTGTTGTCTGAGGTAATTATATCAATAACATTAATTTTGATTATGACGTTATCACAATACAATATTTTTTTGTCTTGTTTTTTTTTAGGGAACTTGTTGGCCTTTCTGAAGAAGACCAAGTTAATCTTTCGAGCTACACATCTAAGCAAAGAAAACTCAAAAAAGAAAATGACCATTTAAAACATCAAATGATGAATAAAGAGGAAACAATTTTACAACTTAAGACTGAGATGCAAAAATTAAATAGAACTAATTCGTCACTTACTAGTCAGATATTAGAATTAGGTCACAAACCTTTACACGAATCTAAAGTTTCTGTACCAACATCAGACTTTGCCTCAAAAGAAGATAATAAAGCATTAGTTGAAGAAAACGAAGCATTACGAAAAGGTTTACATGAGGTAATGTCCTGTATAAATGAGAAGAAAACCCACCTAGAGATAAAATCTGAAACTTTTGAAAAACTTCTTCGAGCTTTAGATGTTAAGCATATTACTGGATGGTATCACCCAGCGATGAGACTTCAAGCTGAAGTTCACAATTTAGAAGGAATAAACTCCGAATTGAGGGAGCAGCTCAGACTGGCAAGAAAGGAAAATAAAAGTGCCAAAGGGTTTTCAAAAACAGAAGAAATACATGAAATTGAACAGGACGATGTTGATTGCGTTACCTCAGATTCTGGAATCCAAACAGAAGAAATTTCTTCGGATAATTTTGAGGAAAGTGTAAATGCTTTGTTTGCTAAAAACAAAACTACCAAAGGTAAAGATCTTGAAATGATTCAGCAAAAAGTATCGGCTTGGTTAAAGCAAATTTTGACTTCGAAAATTGAATTACAAGAAGTACTTCAGTCCACACAAAAAAAATTTAACAACCTTAAAGATGAACACGAGCTTGTTCTTGAAAAATTGAAGATCTTAATCAGTGAAACGGATGAAGAAAAGGTTCATAAAATCAATGAAGTGATCGGCTCTAACGTTACGCTTAATCGAAAAGTTGTTTATTTAGAGAATGAAAGTAAAAAATTAGTAGATAAAATAGAGCTATTAGAGAATGACTTTAAAATGAAGGAAACTTTATATTTAAAAAATATTCAAAACATTCAAAACGACAAAAAAACATTAGAAAGCCAGTTAAATGATGCGAAAAATTTAAATAGTACATCAATCAGTTTTGATAATTATAAAGATATACAAAATAACTTAAATAAAATGACTGCAAAATACAGAGAATTAGCGGCTAACATTCAAAGACAAGAAGAAGATAAATCACTAGAATATACCATCCTTCTTGAAACTCAAAAATCTTTAGAATCGGATAAAAAGAATTAGAAGCAAAATTAGTAAGTTTAATGTCCAAACATACTCTTGTTGAAATTAAAGAAACTGACGAGAAAACTGAAAAATTATCGCAGAAGTTAGCAGAAGCAGAAGTAAGAGAAATATCTGAGAAACAAAGGGCCAACCATATTAACAATTTGTACAAATTAGTAAAGGAACAGTTAAATAAATCCGAAGAAAAGTTTAAAGAATTTTCTAAATTTAACGAAGAACTTTTAAAAAAGAATATCAGTTTTCAGGAACAACTGAAGAAATTGGAAGAAACAATATGCGATTCTATTGATAGGTTACTTTACGAACAAGTCAAAAAAGAAAATAGCGAGCTGGTCAAGGAAAACGAAAACTTATCAATTAATATAAATAATATAAAAACTGAGCTAGAAATAGAAAAACAAAATAAAGAATTCGAAAAAACTTGGAACAACTCCAAAGAACAGGAGCTGTTAAATTTAAAACATCAAATCGTTGATCTAATTTCAGTTTCTGATGAAAAAGTTATTATAGCTCAACTAAGTGGCGATGTTCTACAAAACAGGAAAGCAGTGGAATATTACAAAGTGAGTGCGAATGGTTTGAATGAAGAGTTGAGAAAGATGAACGAATTGTTTCAAAATGAAAACAGGAAGTACCAGGACGGTTTCTCTATGGCAGAAGAGAGGGAGAAATTACTAAATGGGAAAATAAGGTAATACATTTTGGCATTTAAAAGTTTTATTTGAAAATACTTTATGAAAGGTATAATAATATAAATTTACCATCTCGAGGCGTCATCAGCGCTTTTTTCTAAAATAAGTATTACCACTTTAATTAAAGCAAACGTAAAAGTCTAGTTTTGACTAGGAATATAACAAAATATGGTTTAATACTTACTATAAGATTTTAGATTTACTTGTGTGAAACCACTAAAACTCTTTAAATATAATTAAATCAATTTGAAATTATATTTTTGCCAATAATATCCTAAGATCTTTAAGTTTTAGACGAAATTTACTTAATGGCAACGTAAGACTCTAACACTGGTGTTGCTGGCCATGAGACGAAATGTCTACCAGCACTTGTTGATAGCAACTTATCAAAATGACGCTTTAGGAAGGAAGTCTAAACAAAGCAGTCAATATAACCGGAAATATGTGTCTAAATATGACCATAGACAACATTGCGTATAATTGAATGTGTTAAATTTAATTACTCACGACAGCAGTGAACATTAAAATGTTGGGATCAAAGTGTAATCTACCCTTAAGGTTTGTTAGAAAATTGTAGAAAAGATGTTATTATAGATGATATGATAATATCAATTGTAACAAAAGATCAATGTATGATTGGAGTTGTATATTGTAGTGTAGGGGGTTGAAGCTATAGGAAAATGTGAACTTACAGGTTAAAAAAAACATTTGGTATCTGAGACATATAAAGCGTTAAGGTTCTAAGTTAATGACTGTTAGAAGGATATGGAGACATGTTTACTAAGTTACGTATGGATTCATTATAAATGTAAAACCAACATGATTGATGAATGAAGGATGATTTCTATCGTACCTCGTCGTCCAATCCATCTACCGCGATATTCCTCATCTAGGTAACGTCTTATTGAACCATAATGGTGTGCAGGAGCATTATCTTGTTAAAACGTTATCTCCAAGTTGCCGAATTCATCTGAATTATCCTGCAGAATTTCAAGTATTAACGTCTTGTAATAAGGCTCTATAACTCAAGTCGTCATGAGTTATAGAGCTTTATTACTAGACGTTAATGAGACGACTTGAGTTACATGACTCGAAAGCTAATAGAAGAATATAACAAATGGGATCTCGAAGTCAACATTAAGAAAACTGAAGCCATGTGTATTGGAGGGACAAAACAGTCCATTATATTAGACGATGGGGTAGAAATTAGAAACTGTGATGAATACAAGTACCTGGGTATGAAGATAACTCAAGATGGAACACTCGATGCTGCTATACAAGACAGAAACATACAGGGTAGAAAAGCCATATCCATGATGAACGGCATTCTGTGGGACCAAACAATATCTAAAGCGAACAAACAACTCATATACAACACCATACTTAAAAGTGTAATCACATATGGCAGTGAAGTTTGGCCAATGAAACAAAGAACAGAGAAACTGTTACTAGCAACAGAAATGGACTTCTGGAGAAGAGCAGCAGGCAAATCAAGAAGAGATCGGATACCAAATTAGAGAATACGAGAAATGATGGGAGTCAAGCATACTTGATGACATAAAAACAAAACAGCTAATATGATACGGCCATGTACAGAGAATGCCAGATGACAGGATTCCGAAACAGATTTTAACGTGGACACCACAAAGGAGAAGGAAAAGAGGAAGGCCGAGAAGAAGCTGCAGAGATGGAATTGAAAAAGAATTAGAGGAAAGAGAAATCCCTCCGGGCCTATGGTTAAATAGAGAAGAATGGCGGTTTGGAGTTGGAAGACGTCGGAGAACGCTGTAAACCGATAGTAGTAGTAGTAATAAGGCTCTATATGTTGTAAACCAACATTTGGTTCTATATTCAATATGCCAATATTTCCTATGCCATTACCTAAAAATCAAATCTCTTACCCTTTCCCTAAAATGATGCTTTAACACGTCTGGCCAGCGTGTAGGATTATGTCTGTTATCCCAAATATAGCAAATTTTAAAACAAAGGAAAGTGTACCCCAGGAGAATTAAGACATCTAATGTCAAATCCCATATCTTGAAAAAGATCTACCTCATGGATTCTGGGAGAGCCCAGCAGGTAGGCATTTATGGCCACGCGACTGTAGATGCGTAACAGTGTATATCAATATATAATACAACAACGCTTTTAAATTATGAAAGACTAACATAATTATAACAGGAATTAAAGAAAATTAAATGGGATCTAATAGATCGAAGCGAAGTGTGAAGAAAAGGGGAAAACCAACTAATTTTATCAACCATCAACATTCTTTTTCCACTTTATCAATTTTTCCTTTTATGTTTTAAAATTTTCTTCGATAATTTTTGGGAACTTTAACAAATTTTTGGGAACATTTTAGAATCTTCCATTAACACTTCTTGAAACTTTTTTTAATTTTTCACTGTTTTGGTATGGCTAATTTCCAAAAAGTACATATAGCAATCAAATTAAAAAATAACATGGTTAAATATTTTTGGGTACATTCACAAATACGCAGTTTAATACAATAAATAATATTTGTTTTTAGACAATTACAAAACTTATTAAACAACCAAAAACTTCAATTTTTTGGTTATGTTCCTATCGCATCTGAAGAAACATATATTAATAACCTTATTACAGTAAATAAACAAAAACACGAGACATTTTTGGCTCTTCAAAGGGTCAAACACGTGGAAAACGAAGCGGCTCTTTTAAAAGAAAAGCTTGATATTGAACTAGATTATCTAGCACAACAAAAGGAAATGGGAACAGATAATTGTAAACAAGCATATAATAAAATGGCAAATTGGATGCAAGAAAAAAAGAACTTCCAAATAAATGTAAGTATATAAAAGTTTTACGGATCAGAGCTACTGCACTCTTTCCTCTTTCTCTCTGTTCGCCTTCTCTTTATAACTATCTTTTTTATTTTTATCATTATCTCAATAAATTCTTTAATCATTTTTTGTTTAATGTTAACAGCACATGCCGATTTCTTACCTGATCCATCCATTTATACAGTCATAATTTAAAAGCTTCGATCTTATTGCAGATGGTATCGGAGATAGTCCTAGATAGTACCTAATGTTTACCAATGCATCGCAAAAACATAAAATTTTGACATTTTATTTAAAAAAAATGTGCCCTAGCTTCTTATACTAGAGACGTAATTGTCATAAAATGGTCCTAATCGTCGATGAAAATTGTTTTCTTCATTTTTTCAGGCGTGTCAATCCATCACACATATTTCTTCAGGTGGTTTTCTGTTTTTAGAATATTATCCTATATTTTGCCTTTATATATTTTGCCTTTATAGTATTCAACAATAGTCAGCATTTTTCACTAGTCTTGGTAACTATCCATAATCTTAAGAGTTTTCAAGACTATTCCGGTGCCTCATTGACTTAATGGTTATTAACAGATTTTACTAAATATTATTTAAATAATAGATGTAGAAGTATGCATGCTTGTATAACTGTGTATTCCATATTCATATATTTTATAATAGCCAGATATACGTGGTTTCTAGTCCCCAGATATTTTATTAATTTTCTAGTTTTCTTTATATCCGTAGGAACATTTCCTTCTTCTTCATGTACCATGTCCTTTCAGAACATTGGTTACCATCATAGCTATTTTAATTTTATTTACTGCCACCCTAAATAGCATGCTTGTATCAACACCATACCAATCTCGCAAGTTCTTCAACCATGAGGTTCTTCTTCGTCCTGAACTGCGTTTGCCTGCTATTTTTCCTTGCATGATATTTTTTAGCAACCTATATTTGGGACCTCTCATTACATGTCCCAAATACTCCAGCTTTCTCTGCTTGATGCTTTTTATGATCTCAGTAGTCTTGCTGAGACGTTCCAGTATTGTGGAGTTTCAAATCTTCTCCACCCAGGAAGCTTTTAAAATTCTTCTATAGCACCACATTTCGAAAGCCTCAAGGCGATTTAGATCGATTTTATTCACAGTCCAGGACTCGACACCATAAAGTAAGACCGAGAACACGTAGCAGCGAAGTAGGCGGATCCTCAATGCCAATTTTAGGTCTCTGTTACATAAAACCTTGGACATCTTTCTAAAAGTAGCTCTAGCCTGCTCTATCCTAAATCTAATTTCTCCGTGACTTTTTGTGTTACAATTTAATTGCTGTCCAAGGTAAACGATTTTATCAACTTGCTCAAGTTTGTTATTATTTACATATATAGACTGTTTTATATGCTGTTGTTTACTTATTACGAGTATTTTGGTTTTCCGTATGTTCAGATCCAGACCTGCCTCCCTACAACTCCCAACGGCACTATTAAGTAGTGTTTGCAGATCTCTTGTCTAGAAGCTAGGAATACTGTATCGTCCGCATATCGCAAATTATTGATGACTTCGCTGTTCACAAGTATTCCTTCTTGTTTTTCAGAAAGTGCTTTTCTGAAATTTTTTTCGGAGTAAACGTTGAAAAGCAGGGGTGAAAAGAGGCATCTCTGCCGTACTCCTCTTTTAATATTGAGAGCCTGTGATGGTACACCATCTACTAAAACTGATGTTTGATTCCAATATAAATTTGCAATTACTCGAACATATCTGCCGTCCAAGCCAATGTCTTTTTTTAGGAACATTTGGGCATACAATTCATAGGGTTATTGGGGATTGATCCCCAAGAACGAAATGCTCTCCTGGCACTCGTCCATGACCCCCTCATAGCACACTGATAAGCTATAAGAGCCTACTATCATAAGAATTATTGTCACGTGAGAGTCTTCGGAAACAATACTCTCACTTATAAGTCTTATCCGCATAAAGTCCAGGATAGCGTGAGGTGCTCTTATTTCGTAGTCTTCTTTTTTGCCTTCTTTACGAGCATGCTTATTCGAGTGCTTCCATAAGTCTACCAGAGCCTTTCGGCTAAGCTGATTCCACAGTCTCAACACTCGAATGGGAAAATGAGCTCATCTGGGCCGATTTTTAATGTTTTGTTGGTATTTTTTGGTTAGTACGTGCAATTTTTTTAATGATTTTTTTTTGAGGAACTTTGGGACAAGGATCGATTGAAGGTGGTAGTTAGACGAGTATTTCAGAGCTACTTACATGCTATCTCCTCTTAGGCATTGCCAAGCAGTTCCTGTTTAGGTCTTCTGTATTTCTATCGGTGGAAGACATCATACCTTATGATCTCCCGCAGGATGTGGTTGGGATGGTCCACTAATTCGGCGAATTTTGTTCTTGCTTTGTTATCCATCTGGTTTAATACTCCGATCTGTTGCGTGTCCCTAAAAACAAATCTTTCCGTTACGTATCGAGGGACGTTCACTGTTTCTCATAGTGCTCCATTGTGGATAGCTTGGATCTTCTTTTTCTTCGACTTGCAAGTCTGTTTCTATGCGAGAGATGGTTATGTCAGGATGGGCAGTATGATGCTATGAATGATCCTTGTCTTTGTTCTGAATACTAAGTTGCTTCTTCTCCCAATTCTTCTCCTTCTAACGGCACTACAACCCTATGTGGGTCTTGGCCTGCTTAACAACATTTTTCCATTCTGCCCTATCGGATGCTTTCCTTCGCCACTGCTTGAGGTCCATGGTTTTAAGATCTTCCTCTATATCGTCTGCCACCTCTTACGGGGTCTTCTTCTTATTATATTTGCTTGGGGTTTCCATTTCTGGATTACTTTTACAGCTCGATCATCTGGCATTCGTTTTAAGTAGCCAAGGCAGTTTAGTCTTCGCGACTTTGGCCATAGTTTATTTTTATTCTCTACGAACCATTGCTACAATAAGTTGGTTCAAATATCTTTCTTAATATTTTGCACTCAAATATTCTCAATTGATTTTCGTCAGTGGTTGAAAGGGTCCACGTTTAACATCCATATGTGACCACTGGTCTTCTCCCAGTTATTCTTTTGATATTAGCCTGTACTAAGTTGTTCTGTTCCTAGTTGCATTCTCGTGGTTACTATGTTTGGCCACTATTGACGTGTCGTCTACATAGAGGTTGATCTTGGTGCTTGATGTTCTGGGGGCATCGGCTGCATATATGATATATAACAGCGGAGACAGAACAGCTCCCTGTGGTTCTACGCCTGCGGATTTCCGACTTTGGCTAGGACTTGTCCAATGCGAATCCTGAATTTTCGGTTTGCGAGGTATAGGGAGAGTCGTTCTGTGAAGCTGGGTACCTGGTGTTTACTTGAGTGTTTGACTATGTGTTGTTGAAAGAAATTAAGTTTTATAACTGCCCTTTAAACTGTCTTATCAATAATATTAAGTTTATTTATTACAATTTTGCTTAGATTTCTTACTTAAATAAATGGTAATTCCTCCCTCATATGTTTATTTATGTTTATAGGAGATTCGTCTAAAACGCCAGCTAGAATTTAAACAAAGTGAACTCCAGCACTATGTGGAAAGGGTTAAATCACAAGATGATCAAATATTAAAACTAGACCAAGAACTGTTACAGATTTACAAATATTTGGATATACCAGATGGAGTAACACAAAAATCATTACAAGTGGAAAGTCGAGAGAATATTACACAGAAACCGGTAACTCCCGAGCCTAAACCACGTACCCTAAAAGCTAGTCGACCGGTAACTGTTCAAACAGAAAATCTAGAGCCGGTTTCACCTACTTCTGATGAAAAACATATTGTAAATAACTTAAAATCGGAACTAATAACTCTTCAGGAAGAGAATAAAGTTAAGGAAACACAACTTGATCAATTGAAAAGTAAAATAACAGAGCACGAGATGACGATTAGTATGTTTCGCAAACAAATTGGAGATAAACAAAGTCAGATTACTTTTTACGAGAGACATATTATGGACCTGCAAAATAAGAAAACAGAATTGTCTTCTACCGGAGCCGGCGGAGATAATGTTAATGTTGGTACCGAAGCTGTTAGCCAGACACAAGAACAAATAGTACTAAAGGTAAGTTCTATAATCGAATTAATATAAGATATTCAATTTTAGGTAAAGTAATATTTGAAGTAGAGGACAAACTTCAAGAGTGAAAAAATTACATTACGAACTCATTCGAAGACCATAGGATTAGTTCACCTCCGGATATTAATAACTGTAACGGACCCCTAATAACATGCTCTGCGGTAATACAAGCCATATAATCAACAAAAACTAACATCAAAAGTTCTGATACAATTTCAAGTACAATATTCAACCTAAATGATAGTAAAGCTTTTGAGGTTAAAGCTTGGTTTTGCAATACCATTTATACCAACGGACATCTACCTAATGGTTGGTCCAACTTATTGTTCATACCTCTACTTAAGAGGATAACAGCAAAAACCTGGGCTTATTATAGAACTATCAGTTTTAAGCCATTTATTAAAAAAAACTTTCTAAAGATAATACATGGCCATATCTGTATGAGTTAAGCACTCTATAGTGATCGAAGTTCTAAGAGCCATGGGCTTGGATGGCAGAGACGTTTGCATAATTGCAAACCTCTATTGGAATCAAACAAAATCAAATAAATCAAAATCAGTTTTAGTAGACGGTTTGGAATCACAGGCTTTTAATAACAGGATTACAGCAGGGATGTCACTTGCCACCCTTGCTTTTCAACGTTTATGAACAATTTGTGAACTATGCAATACTTTTATAGAATACTTCTTCTAAAAGTGATAACATCGCCTTTATAAGGTGGCAGTACATATTATTAAGCGAGCTATGATATAAGAAGAGAAAGATCTAATTTAATATGAAACGTAACACAACCATCTATGCAGATGACATTGACATTTCTGACCTTTCTGAAAATTTTCAGATCAGAGATTTATACCACTTGGATGTTGCCACTTAATATGGAAAAAGTCAGTCTTTGATTCTTATCTCTCTGACATCTTCCATCACTACATCTCTCCATTTATATCTTCCTCTCTTTTTTGCCCTCAAGTACTCTTTAAGCAATATTATTGACTAGTTTATTACCTTGCATTCTTTCTAGATATCTGAGCCATTCTAGTGTACGTTTTTTCACCATTTTTGATATTGTAGGGTTAGCATACAAATGGTACAATTCTGCATTAGTTCGACTCCATTCTCCTTCTAGTACTTTTCTACCAAATATTCTGCGAAGTATCTTTCTTTTCTATGCTTTCAATCTGTTTTGTATGGTTTTGTTCATAGTCTATGTCTCGGCAGCATATAGCATTGTGGGTCTAATTGTAGTTTTGTATACTCTTATTTGTGTATTACGAGATATATCTTTGGCTCTAATTATTTTGCCCATGGCTCCAGGACATCTGTTGCTCTTGGTCAGTCTCAGGTTAACTTCAGTTTCTTCCTTACATGTCTGATCAATAAGAGTACCTACGTATATATATTTTTCCACCTTTTCGAATTCTACAACTGATCCATCCTCCACCTCCTATGTACTTCGATTTAACTTTCAATCCCATTTTAGAGCTTTCCCGAGTCAGTGTTTTTGCTATATTTGCCACTTCTTTTTCCATTTCTTGCAATGAGAACCAAATCATCAGCGTATGCTAAGCATTGGTGCTCATAGTATAACATAGTGCCGGATCTATTTATCCCACTAACCCTTACAATTTTTTCTAGAACTACATTAAATAGCAATGTAGGCAACGGGTCTTCTTAGCGAACACCTTTTTTCACTTGGAATTCTTCTGATACTGTATCGTTGCATTTCACAGTACAAATGGTTTGTCTAATTGTCATTTTTACCAATCTTACTAGTTTTTCTGGCACTTGAAATTCTTTTAGCGTTTCTATTAATTTGTTTCTGTCAATTGTATCATAGGAGGCTTTGTAATAATTGAAAAGTACTTGTGCTGAAATTTTGTATTCAGAGCAATTGATCAGGATTTGTTTTAGCATAAAAGTTTGATCGGTTGGTGACCTTACTTTGCGAAATCCTTTCTGGTATTCTCCTAGATTCTTTTCTAGATATATTTTAATCGTTTTTAATTAGTATGGCGATCACTTTACAAATTATTTCTAATAAGCATAGGCCTCTATAGTTTGCACATTCAGTTCTACCTCCCTTTTTGTGTATAGGAATTATAATCGACTTATGCCATTCTTGAGGCATTTCTTCGGCATCCCACAGTATTAGCTCACTAAGTTGATTGATTTTTCTTATCTTTTATTATTTCTTTAATTTCCTCTCTTGTGGGCTTTGGTATTTCTTCTATTACTATTTGAGGTTTAGAAATATTATAATTTTCTTCAGTAGCCAGTCCGTCATTTAGCATCTCTTCGAAATATTCTTTCTACCTTTCACATATTTGGCCTTCGTCCACTATAAACTTTCCTTGCTTAGCTTTTAGATTCATCGTTCTTCCCTGACACTCAGCTTTAATTTATTTTACCTCTTTGAAAATTTTTTTATTTCATTTTTCTTGTAATTTTCTTCAATATGCTTTACTTTATCATGCATATACTTTCGTTTCCGCTTCCTTAGGATTTTCTTTACTTTTTTCGTTGTTCGGCATACCTTTCTAGGTCGTCTTGTTTTTGCGATCTTAAACTTTTTAATCTCAAATCTGATCTATTTTTAATTCTGTTCTACATTCGTCATCGAACCAGTGGTTTTTTTTAATCTATTTGTTCTTCGTATGTTCTTTGACGTTGCTTCCTTTATAGTGTTTGTCATTTTTAAGAACTTTTGTTGTATGTTACTCACAGTAGTACTATCTTGTTTGGCGTAGGTTTCTTGTATATCCTTTGATAATCCTACACTACTTAAAATTTTCGCAGTTTTTCCAAATTAAATTTACGTTGCATTTCTTTTTCCGTTTATGCTTTTTATTTATTGCTTCTCTTATTAATTCTAACCAAAAAATGATCTGAGTACGTCAGCCCCTCTACAGATTTTCACATTTGTTATTAAATTGGCGCATTTCTCTTGTATTAAGATGTAGTCTATTTGATTAGTTTCATTTGATCCTTGAATTTTCCACGTTCCTTTATATATATTTTTTCTCCTGAAATGCGTACTCATTATTTTCATCCTGTTTTCAGTTGCGAATGTAATCAATATTTGGCCATTATCATTTGTATTCATATGTTTATTTTCACCCCTCATTATGTTTATATATATATATTATATATATATATATATATATATATATATATATATATATATATATATATATCTTCTCTTCAGACCTTTGCATTGGCGTCGCCTATAATAATTTTAATATCTTGTCTGAGCATTTCTTCAGACAATGAGTCTAATTCTTCGTAAAATTTTCTTTCACTTCTTCTCTCGTTTTTTCATATTCTTTTTTCCTTTAATTCTTATTGCATATATTCTGTCAGATTTTGCTACAAATCCTTTTACCTGCTCCACGTCTTCATCTACCAGAAAATCCACTTCACAGTTCCTATTATTACCTTCACATGTATAAAACGTGCATGGGCTAATCTTTTCAATGTTGTTTACAGTCAAATGTGTTTTCTGTAGTGCATTAAGGTTTGTATACTTGTAATAAATTTGATGACAGTATTAAGGACGGTGCAGCTAATATCATATTTTACTTCTATCTCTTTCAAAGATCGTTGGAAAACTCTCAAAGATACAATTCCGAATGATGATGTAAACGACAGATAGCAGTAGAGGGTTCTCTAATAACAGATAAAAAAGGAGAAATTGAAATTATATTATATGGAGAAAAAAATATAAGTTAAACGACGTGAGGCTAAAAAAAACTATAAAGTACATATTTCTCTATCAAAGGAAACAAGGAAAACCTGGACAGTAGAAATACAGTTAGATATATTGATAATAGGATATAAAACTTACTCATACGTTAACTGTATTATTTGTATAGTACCTATATCACATATTTAAAATGTTAGAAAAATCATCCCTTTCCTTTATTTATTCTCTCTCAAAATTCATACCTTAATTTTAGAATTCATTAAAAAGTCTTCAAGAAGAAATAAAGTCTAAAGACGAACAAATTATGAAGTACCAAACTTTGCTGAAGAATGATAGGGATAAACACAGCCTAGCAGCAGCGAGGTTGCAAGAAGAGCTACAAAATTTGCAAAAACAATTAATGGAAGAAACCCAAAAGACCAAAAGGTAAGTAATGGTTTTATAATAACCTAGTCTCTATTGGAATGTATTTTAATAATGATTAATTTTTATTTATTATATTTTATTATGTAAAATGTATTTATTTGATTTTGTAAAATCGATAATAGCATTAAACCGAAATACAATATATTATGTATTTAAACAAACCAATCAAATCCAACCTAGTATAGCCTTATCTTATGTAATATTTGGTCTAATAGCTGTTATTTAAACGCTATCATATTTTCAGTTTGGAGGAGATTTGTGCCAAAAATAGACCAAATAGAGCAGCTTTGGAGCAATATGTAAGTCAAGTACACGCATTAGAAAAGCACGCTTCTGAGCTACATACAAAATTATCAACTTTAGAGGTGCAGCTACAGTCTAGTCGACAAGAATCGATAAGATGGAGAACTATGGCCAACGATAGATTAACTGCTATGGAAGACCTACGAAAAGAGTAAGATTAAGTTTATTTATTTTTAGACAGGTACTTCACTCTATTTTAGAGATGGTGCAGTGACACTTTATAGTATATGCATACTATACACAATTTATGATATCTAATCTAATGTGCCTGTCGAGCAGCTTTTCGTGTCTTCAATACACATGGCATCATATATAATTTTTTGTACAGAAAGTCTCTGTGTGTCAAAAGAAGACATTTACTTCTTTTGACACATGCTAGTTTTCCCTAAAACTATAAGTTATTCCCTCCAGTTCAATTTGCCGCTATGTGGTATTAGTTTTGTCCTAGATTCAGGAATAAGTGCATCCCGAAAAATGCTTTTAAAGTCGGTTCGCTATTCCCAGTCCGAACTGTCTAGTGAATTTAGTAATTTTTTTTTTTGCGAAGTTGGTTACTTTTGACAGACTAAAAGTGGCTGGAAATTACTATCCAACCAAGCACACGTACTCATAGCCAATATTAATAGTAAACAAACTAAATAGTAAGTAAAATAGTACTTTGCGTATTACCGACAATCGATATTTCTTTATCTGCACCATATATTAAATAATTATGTTAAATTATAACAACTAAAATATATTTTTAAAATATATACTACCCAAAATTTGATGGGTTTAGTATACACTTCCACTATTTAGAATAATTCTTCTTTTTTCAAAGAAAGAAGTCTGCAATAGTAGTATACTTGAGCTATTAATATTGAGAAGTAGGAATTGTTGTGTTGTAGGTTTCCGACAATGAATCTGTCAAAATATGCCCGAGCTGAGCGAATGTAGTATAGGATCTCTTCACCATTCTAAGCGTATTCCCTGACTCCTTTTGGAGCAAGGGACTATTTATCCGAGGATCTTTTAAAAGAACTTTATGAAACCTTGACATTTCTGCAGTCTGTTTCATCTCCTCGCAATGCCATATACTATATTAATTCCCACTGACTTTTATAATTTCACCAGGGCACTTTTCTGTTGGAATTACCCACTATTCTTGTATAACTGTCTTCGAACGACAACATTATAACCAATTAAAATTGTTTTTTAGCTAGGTCTAGGTTCAGTGTATGCCTTATGGTCCTTTAATCCCAAAACAATAATCAAGGTGAGATTATTATATGTTTTCCAGTTTGATTTACAGGTGTTACGATAAGTTTTCTTGATATGCTTATTAACTGCTATTTTAAAACATATGTTTCAATGGTCTGAATAAAACAACTCGTCTGACCCATGCCATTTTTAACATTTTTAGTCACGTGTGTCATGGCCATTATTATATTAATTATCTTCTTTCGTTGTGGAGCTACGAATACTGTTTTGTTTTCTACGGTTAGTATATCTAAGCCATGTTCCATATAAAACTGTGATAATGACGCACGTCTTACTGATAGATATACCCTATTGAAGGTATGCTGATTCAAGAATTGTCTCCTTTAGACTTCCCCTCTCTGTACCGTCATTACATTCCTAGAACAGAAATTAATAAACAACAGTGTTTTAATATATTGTTTGACTGCCATACAGGTCTACACAGGTCTTTCAAAATTTGGGCTATGTATAAGTCCCCCTCTAATGTTAGATACCTACAGAACTTTTTAGATCAGATTAATAATTAAAGAATCAAATCTGAACAATACCAAATCAATTCATATTGATTTGACTAATATAAAAGGGACAATATATTCCAGTCAGAATATATAAGGTCCAGGTTCTACACAATAATACTGCATAAATATTTGGGTATCAGTTTTGATGCAGCCCTCAGGTGAAAAGCACATGGTAAAACAAACTGGTTCCTTGGGTGTGACTCCAATGATCCACTCATAACAAGTTGTTGATCTACAATCAAATCATCTTGTTTGGAGTTATGGAATACAACTATAGGATTGTACCAGCGTAAGAAAGTAGCATATAGATAATCCGTTTCCAGAACAAGGTACTAGAGACCTACAAGAATATCGTTGATACCCTTTGGTACATTTAAAGACCTGTTGTCGTTGATGCTTTTTGGTACGTTCAACGACCTGGGGTATTTAAGACAATTAAATAATTTTCAGAACCACAAGGATATTCTCCATCATCACGAAAATATCGAGACCCTTCAGATACTTGAAAACAAGAACCAAACCAGACGACCCAATAGCATTAAACTATACGGGTTAGTGCCGTGAAGTGATGTTATAAAAGCAAAGCATAGTGCAGCAGTGTATACGTGAGTCTTAGTGTAACTAAAGAAATACTACTGAGTAAAACTAATTTAGAAAAGGCTAGTTAGTTTAGGTTAGGAAGTGGTTATCATTAATATGCCAGTGAACACAGTAATGTTATTCCGAAATGAGCAAAAATATAAGTTTGACTTGGCGATTGGTTCTTTCTACATTTTGCCTCTTCTATCGTTTTCTGGTGTTCCCTTAGAAAGTATTTTACGTCTATATAACTTGATATTATGATTTATTGATAATTTATTTCTTGGTTAATATTTTGATACCTACATTTTTATTCATCGAATCTGTATTGCTATTGAAAATCCACGCTCTCAGACCGCCGTAGAACTTTCTCGGTGTCGTCAGAACACCTTGGAATTATCTAAACAGCGGTGGCTTCTTCGAACATGCTACGCGAAGATTCGATCAGGGGCGTAGCAAGGGCTTGGTGTAACAATATACTAAAGCATTGCTTGTTTCTTGAAATACTGTATTAGAGTACTTATATATGATGTTTTTTTATTTTATGTTTACCTTTTTTAACGAAGTATTAATTTTTCAGTTTAGATAAACAGCATCAAACAGAAATGGTACAATATAAGTCTGATATCGAAAAAATGAGGGATCTCGGGAACGACGAGATAAATACTTTAAGACAATTAATACTAAGGCAAAAAGGAGAACTAACTGGAAGACTAGATATGGATATTCAACGATTGATTAGAGAAAAAGATGATAAAATACATGAAATGATTGTCAAGCTCCGACAAGTAAAGGTAACAGTGTTATATTCATACGAAATAATACATTTTCTTTAAAAGAAACTATTTGATTATATAGTTAATAACTTTTAACTTCATTTTATACTATCCATATTTTTGCTAGTAGTGACATATACTGAATATCCATATCTTTTCTAGTAATGACATAGACTCAATAGAGCTTTATAGAATATACGAAGAATGTTGCGTTTCGATTTAATTTGAGTCTCTTACCACTCCCTGACACGTGTTTCTGGGTCTACCCGTCATCAGAAGGAGTTTGTAAGAACACTCAAACCAAATCAAAACGCACTGATTACTCTGGCAATTACAGGAAAATAACTACCAGAGTATGCAACTAGAGACCTCTAGTGAGGCAAGATGAAGATACATCGATAGCAATTAAAGTAAACTGTGTACCCAAGCTTAAACAAGCCATTCAGAGCGGTACTGAGAATAAAAATATTCCACTACGTACCAACAATTTACCCATATAAATTACCATCAATTTTTGTACTCATTGCGTCGAGTAGGGACGATAAATATACGAAGAATGTTGCGTTTCGATTTAATTTGAGTCTCTTACCACTCCCTGACACGTGTTTCTGGGTCTACCCGTCATCAGAAGGAGTTTGTAAGAACACTCAAACCAAATCAAAACGCACCGATTACTCTGGCAATTACAGGAAAATAACTACCAGAGTATGCAACTAGAGACCTCGAGACCTCTAGTGAGGCAAGATGAAGATACATCGATAGCAATTAAAGTAAACTGTGTACCCAAGCTTAAACAAGCCATTCAGAGCGGTACTGAGAATAAAAATATTCCACTACGTACCAACAATTTACCCATATAAATTACCATCAATTTTTGTACTCATTGCGTCGAGTAGGGACGATAAATATACGAAGAATGTTGCGTTTCGATTTAATTTGAGTCTCTTACCACTCCCTGACACGTGTTTCTGGGTCTACCCGTCATCAGAAGGAGTTTGTAAGAACACTCAAACCAAATCAAAACGCACCGATTACTCTGGCAATTACAGGAAAATAACTACCAGAGTATGCAACTAGAGACCTCTAGTGAGGCAAGATGAAGATACATCGATAGCAATTAAAGTAAACTGTGTACCCAAGCTTAAACAAGCCATTCAGAGCGGTACTGAGAATAAAAATATTCCACTACGTACCAACAATTTACCCATATAAATTACCATCAATTTTTGTACTCATTGCGTCGAGTAGGGACGATAAATATACGAAGAATGTTGCGTTTCGATTTAATTTGAGTCTCTTACCACTCCCTGACACGTGTTTCTGGGTCTACCCGTCATCAGAAGGAGTTTGTAAGAACACTCAAACCAAATCAAAACGCACCGATTACTCTGGCAATTACAGGAAAATAACTACCAGAGTATGCAACTAGAGACCTCTAGTGAGGCAAGATGAAGATACATCGATAGCAATTAAAGTAAACTGTGTACCCAAGCTTAAACAAGCCATTCAGAGCGGTACTGAGAATAAAAATATTCCACTACGTACCAACGTTTTGATTTGGTTTGAGTGTTCTTATAAACTCCTTCTGATGACGGGTAGACCCAGAAACACGTGTCAGGGAGTGGTAAGAGACTCAAATTAAATCGAAACGCAACATTCTTCGTATATTTATCGTCCCTACTCGACGCAATGAGTACAAAAATTGATGGTAATTTATATGGGTAAATTGTTGGTACGTAGTGGAATATTTTTATTCTCAGTACCGCTCTGAATGGCTTGTTTAAGCTTGGGTACACAGTTTACTTTAATTGCTATCGATGTATCTTCATCTTGCCTCACTAGAGGTCTCTAGTTGCATACTCTGGTAGTTATTTTCCTGTAATTGCCAGAGTAATCGGTGCGTTTTGATTTGGTTTGAGTGTTCTTACAAACTCCTTCTGATGACGGGTAGACCCAGAAACACGTGTCAGGGAGTGGTAAGAGACTCAAATTAAATCGAAACGCAACATTCTTCGTATATTTATCGTCCCTACTCGACGCAATGAGTACAAAAATTGATGGTAATTTATATGGGTAAATTGTTGGTACGTAGTGGAATATTTTTATTCTCAGTACCGCTCTGAATGGCTTGTTTAAGCTTGGGTACACAGTTTACTTTAATTGCTATCGATGTATCTTTATAGAATAATTCGGCGAACCACAGGTCTTTGTCTATGAGAGCGTCCAATTAGTTACCAACTAGCCATATATCCAGCACCTTTGTTTTTAATATTATTTCGTGTTTTTGTTTTGTGATCCTCACTTCAAATGTCAAAAATATACAAAATTAGACACGAGCGTTAGGAGGCGGCGGCGACTTGTCAAACGTGCCAAGTGTGTAGATATACACATGCAATCGCAGGCTACAACAAAGGAACTACGAAAAAGGTGAATCTCCACAATATGGGTAACGTACTACCTTCACCTAAAGGCAGACTGGTAGGGGCATTGGTTCTGCCCAGAATAGAATAGTTATCGCATCGATACCAAAGTTTTACCTTAAATTGCTGGCCTTTTCCTGAATGGTAGGTATTTCGGTAGCACTCCCCACAGGTTTATGTAGAGTTTGATCTTGTAAACATCAATTCTTGTTGTCAAGGCCTTGTTAACTGATTATGGGGGTTGGTGAGTTCTTGAGTTACACTAGCCTTCCTATCCCCTGCTACGCAATAACTTCTTGTCTGGTCTGCTACTATACTAGAAGATCGCGGGTTGAAACCAGCCAACTTCTTACCGAGGGTTAGCATTTGATGCAACTGAATATACGAAACGACATAACTTAGCAGCAAAGATCATTCGTCAAGAGATATCTAACAAAGTGGGACGTCTTTAAACGAACCATCTTTCATGGATAAGTTCGTCAGAGTATGCTTGAAATTAACAATTACAAGCTATACTGGGACTGCACTGTGCTCACAGATCAACCAGTGGCACATAATAGACTAGATCATATACTAGTTGATAAATTAACTAAACAATCAATACTAAATAATGTGTTGATATCTACATATATCACGCGAGTCTTCTACAGCTGGCGCTGCTTCTCGCATGCTAATTTCCAGCGTTTTCTGTCGAAGCAATCTTCAGTTGTAAGATCTCTGGCGGTCATTGCATCGTCGACATCGTCTCTCCAGGATTGTCTTGGTCTACCTCGTTTTCTTCTAGTTGGCGGAGTCCATTCTTCTATTTTTTTGGCCATCTATTTTCCAGCATTCTCTGAAGGTGTCCATACCAGTTAAGTCTTTTGGCTTCGATTGGGTCTATTATGTCTAGATCGATTTCCATTTCTCTCCGAATATCTTCGTTTCTCACCCTATCAAGTCTAGTGAGCTGGCAACATCGTCTCCAGTAGTTCATTTTCATGACCTTAATTTTTGATTTGTTTCTTTGGTTTATTTCCCAGATTTCGGCACCGTACAGTCCAATACTTTCTATTATTGTTTTATAAATTCTTTTTTTATTTTCTTTTGCTATTTTTTTGTTCCATAATAGTCCGTGTAGCTGTCTGGTGGCTCATCTTGCTTGGCCAATCCTGGAATGTATTTCTTCGCTACTTTCTGCTTTTGATGTTATTTGGACTCCCAAGTATTTAAAATTGTCTGTTGGTTTTATAGTTCCCATTTCGATTTGTAGGCTTTCTGGTTTCTCTCCTACAACAAAGTACTCAGTTTTTTGTATATTAATTGTGAGACCCCATTTGGTGTACTCATCTTTCAGTTTTCTAAGCATGAATCCTACGTCACTTTCGTCTTCAGCTAGAATGGCTTGGTCGTCAGCGAAGTGTATTGTGTGCAATCTATCATGTACAATGTGTTGATATCTAACAGCAATAATTTGCGTGTTAAATATAACCAAAAGACTGGCAAGTACAGAAATCTGGAAATACAAATAAGGAGGCAATGGAAAAAATAGCTATTAGTCTCTCTATTACTGGTGTTATTACAAAAAACCTCCTACGAAAAACATAAAACCGCTGAGTCTGATTGAACATCTTTATAAGATTATCCACAAAGCTGTACGACTAGCTGCGTATGGAGATTTTTGGGAGATACTTTAGCAAACCTGCGGCTTGATAACACGGAAAACGTCCCACTAGAGCTCAATAATTTTGCTCACTCGATTAGCGTAGCTAGATGTGTGAGTTTTTTCCTTAGAGGGAATTTGAGCTGTGTGGCTTAAATCTGGATCACTATGTCAACTTTTGGCAAGCGATGGTTTTATATTTTTCTATTTTCCAGAAGTAGAGTACTCAAATTCAAATTCTCCTTTCTTTTCCAGGTATTTACCCCGTCTTCCCATATAATAAGTAGTAGAATCTTGCTTATATGTAACATAGCTATTGGTCTGCATTCGCTAGTGTCTGTAGATGAGCCTTTCTTGTGGAATAGTATATACATTGACTCATACCGTAATTTGGCCATATAGTATGTTGTCAAAGCATATTACGCAGCTATTGAAGGTTTCATCCCTATTTGACTACAATCTGGAATATGATTTCTCGTTTGATCAATATGTAAAAGTGTTTTGCAGTGTTGTCTCCCAAATTTTAGTAATATTGTTTGGATCTGTTATTATTTCTCCGTCGTTAATTATACTTATGTGTTTGTGGCTTGAAATTTCTAGAAATTTCTAGAAATTTCGTGGTCTATTGTTGTTTGCATGCTTATGTTCTTCTTTGTGTATAATTTTCCTATGTGTTTATTTCCGTTATCCAGTGTTTACTGATTTTTATTAGTTTTGTACTTTCTTTACACCATATAATTATATCCCAGGTGAAGTATAAATCAGTTAAAATTGAAGATGGACTAGTGACTTGTAGTCTTTGTTAAAAAACTGAAGAATTGGATTTTGGAAACCTCTGGTTTGGTTAAAGAGAATTTAAAATACAAATACACTTACTTATCGAAATATTAAAAATATAATTTTTTTATTCTTTTTGCGCAGACGTTAAAGAAATCCGAACCTCTAGAATCGGAATCGACTACAAAGTTTACCGAGATGGAATCTGCCAAAGATTTACTTACCAAAGAACACGATTTGCTGAAAAGACGATACGAACAGTTGCTGATAAAAGAAAAGAATGCTCGAGACGAGATAAGAGAGTTAAAAACTCAACTGTTAAAAAAGTAAGATTGCATGCACAAAATTATTAATGGGTACTGCACCATAATTAGGTAACTTTTTAGATTTTTAGCATTATAGCATATTTAGCAATGTTAGCATAGGTTTTAATAAAAAATCAAGTATCAAAAGATAAAAATAAAAATAACATTAAATGCCAAGTACTGAAATACTTGGTGTCTGAAAAAAATTTCATTAACCATAGAAATAATTTAAATTCTCTATTAAAAACTCATTAAAAAGGTATTAATAAATATAAAAGGATGTATAAAAAAATATCAATGTCATTTCACATAAAATAAAAAAACAATAGGAAACTTAAATGCAATAATATAAATATTTCTTCATCTCACCAAAAAAGGTGAGATTCTATAAATTAACAAAAATAAGTAATTGAAAAAACCATAAGCTCCAGGCATAGCTGCTTTTATTTATTTAATTAATTTGTCAATTGAACAGAATCATTTTTAGCAACAATTTCAACAGGCTTATCCTTTATAAAAACCTTTATATAGAAGTGATGAAAACAATTGAATATACGAGCTCTACGAAAATGTGTGAAAGTGTGTGTTAAAAGTCTTTACATATCATCAACAATCAATTACTCTTTCCTTTACAATTAATAACGAAAAGCACGGCTTCGATATCATGTTTGCCGCCGATATACAAATACCAGTAAAAAGGTTTCTTTGTTTTTACGACCATAACTGTCATGAAATATTTCTTCGTATTTAAAAAACCAATTTAAAAAGTGTATTTTTCCATCTAGATTCTAGACACCTTACTTGTAGAATCGTTATTTTTCTACTTACCTTTGCAAAAGGCAACTGTAATGTTAAACTGGAAGTGTGTCATTAGTTTTTTATTTTTCTGAATTCTTATTTAAATGGCAATAAATATTTCAGTTAGTTGTTTTATTTCTGCATTTTTTACTAAATATATAGCATAAAAACGGTTTATTTTTACAAGCCCAAACTGCACAAATCAGCAATCTCCTTAACACTTATTACAATTTAGCGGAGTAATTACTAAATAAATAGACCCCAACGATCTATGCACTTGGTGAAAATTTTCTATCTCACTCCTACATAAATCAAAAGGAGTTCAGAAACAATTATTTTAACCAACTCTTATTCAAATCAAATTACAATTTTTTTACATGTGGTTAACAAATTTTGCATCACATATGGGTGTACAACTTAAACCGAGCCAGAGTACTAAATATTTTAAGGGAGGGACGAAAACAATTGAAGGATACAGGGGAAAAAGGAGGAATGTCACTTTTGTTTAATTTTTCAGGAGAGCATTTTCAAACTTATAAGACTAATATTAAGAATATATTTTGTTATATATGCTATTTTTTTTAAATACATACGTTTGGTATGTTTACACTATGGTTTAAAAATTTTCATGTAATTTGGATAGCGGTAGAACACCACATTGTAAGAAATACACTTTCCCTGATTAACAAGGGGGAATGTCTCTTGTTTTAATTTGTTTTAATGCATAGTGAATTTAATTTAAGGGAAGCAACAAAAATTAAAGGATAATACAATTTGGCTTAGTCTATATATCATAATATAATAATTGCGTATAATCTAACTTGTCCTTATTCAACATGTTGTAGTGCTTTGAAATACTCTTCCGCATTCTTTGTGCCAAATCTGGACAGGTGCACAACGTCATCAAACTTTGCGTTCGAAATAGGAATCAAACCTACAAACAGAATACTTAGTTCCCAATACTACTACATTAATTTATTACTATTTCATACCTTCATAAAGATTGTCTGGTATTTCAAACTCATTGTCTTGCAAGTTATTGTTCTGAAAATATTTTCTTGTGGCATTTTAACGTAATTACTAGTTAAATGGGAATAAGCCACAGCAAGAATTTCTTAAACAATTAAACACAAAAATAAAGGATATAAACTCTGACCTACAACCAGAAATAAGTAAAACAGAAATCAAGAAAGCAATTCAAGAATTAAAAAACCATAAGTCACCTGGAAAAGATGGAATAACTGGGAAATACCCGATAGCTGGAACGATGCGGAGACACTATTAATGTTCAAAAAGGTGACCGAAAGAACTTAAAAAACTACAGACCTATAACATTACTAAGTGTTGTATTTAAACTACTAATAAAAATCATGACAAATCGACTAACAACTAAGCTTGACGAATACCAAGAAAGAGAACAAGCGGGATTCAGAAAGGGTTTTAGTACTAGCGACCATCTGCTAACAGTAAAAATACTGATTGAAAAGTCGAACGAGTATCAAATCCCATTATACATGGCATTCATAGACTTCCGAAAGGCGTTTGACAGCATAGAACATTGGGCCATCAAAAACTCATTACAGAACGGCAGAATTGATTACAGGTACACGGACCTAATAACAAACATATATAAAAATGCGAGTACCACAATAAAATTGACGAACGAACACGCTACAGAACCAATAAAATTCGAAAAAGGAATCAGGCAGGGAGACACAATATCACCAAAATTGTTCAATCGGGCTATGGAAGATATATTTAAAAAATTAGAATGGGATACATACGGAATAAGAATAAATGGAGAGCTCTTGAACCACTTGAAATATGCAGACGATATAGTCCTGATAACAGATAAGAAGGAAGAGTTACAGAAGATGGTTGAGGAATTAGATAGAAAAGCGACAGAGGTAGGTCTTGAGATGAACTATAGTAAAACCAAGACTATGACAAACCAAGAAGACCAATTAGAAATAGTAGTCAAACAGAATAAATTAGAGCAGGTGGCAGAATACATATACCTAGGACAGATAATAAAGCTGAACAGGGACAATCAAACAGAAGAAATAAAAAGAAGAACTAGACTAGCATGGGCCTCATTTGGTAAACTATCATATATTCTAAAAAATAAAAAGTTCCCTCAATATATGCGAACGAATGTATTCAATCAGTGCATTTTACCAGTTATCACATATGGTTCACAAACATCGACTTTTACAAAGGAGAACATCGACAGGATATCCAGAACATAAAGAGCAATGGAAAGACAGATGCTGGGTATCGGTCTTAAAGACAGGAAAAGAAACTCATAGATCAGATAAAAAACAAAGGTGAACGATGTATCAAGACAGGTTGCAAAAATTAAATGGAACTTCGCCGGTCACACTCTCCGGCATAAAGATGAAAGATGGAATAAGCGAATTCTACACTGGAGACCATGGGAAAAGAAAAGAAAAATAGGAAGACCACATATGAGATGGACTGACGACCTTAAGAGAACGGCAGGAAAGGACTGGATGCAGATCGCCCAAAATAGAGACTAATGGAGATTAACAGGGGACGATAATGCCCAAGAGTGGGCAATTAAGGCTGATTAGATAGATAGAGAAGCCACAAATAAAGGTTAAAGTGCGTTCCACTTCGGAAATCGTTTTCAAAATACAAACATTAGTAAATTAAACAAATTTTGTTTAATATACTGTTGTATTTTGAGAACGATTTCTGCAGTGGAAATTGAAACGTCAATAAACTTAAGTTATCCTTTAATTGTGGCTTATTCCCATTTAAATAGTAATTTCTTGCAAGCTAGTTAGAGTGCTCTGATATTGGACGGCGGTTACAATTACTGCAGACTCAAAATGACCATTATATGAATTTCTGTAATAAATAAAACGAGGGTGCGATTTTACAACCTTGGCTTCTCGGAGAGGTCTAGTTTTAAAGGGACACTTATTGGTGTAAGTTTTGTTCAGGTGGTTTGACCATTTCATAAATAGCAGCTGATCCACCTCTATTACATTAAAATGAGAAGGTTTTACTCTGGCTTGAAGAAAAATGTCCATCCATTCATTTGGCTGCTCTACTTTAGCTTTTTGATTGATTAGGCCCATATTCATAGCTGTTTTAGGATAGGAATGGCCTCTTATAGGAAAACATATTTTTATTTCATCAAATGTTTTTTCATTGTGCACAAGTTATGGAGAAATATTAAAACAATATAATTCTTGTTTTGTCCTCCTCATGAATCACAGACCATGTAAATACGTCTGACATTTATATCAAGATGATTGTATACGAAATAATGCAACATTGAGTACACATCATCAGTACGTTTTTTACTGTTTCAGGATAAGTATAAATGTACTGGCTCCGATTGATAAAGTTTGGACATTAAAACTATACAAAAAAAGTTGGCGACTGTAGTAGACGTCATTTGCAGAAATGTTATGTGTTGGTAGGTTTTTCTGGAAATCAATACAAATTGATTCTTCATTGCTGCTTTTCCTGCTTCTTTTTGTAGCTTCTCGTTTCCTCTTGTAAAATGTGCTCAATTTATGGAGTATATTTTTATTTTCTAAGCGTCTTATTTCATTCTCCAGCCTAAGAGCACCATCATTATCTCCTGAAATATCGTTACTCTTTTCATCTTCTAGGTTCTTTTACATGGAATGTATTGCATGTGTCTTTCCTGGGATATCCAAATGACAAATTAAATTCGGTTGAGAAAATTGTTCTGTAAGTTTCGTAAGACACTTTTAAATTTGGATATTTTCAACATACATTTTGTGCATTTTATTAATAGATAGTTTCACTGGTAAGTATATTTTGGCAGATTCTGCCAAGTTGTAATGATCTTTTCTGCGTTTAAACGAAATAATGTGGTTCGTTTGTGCTTCTCTTTGTTCTTTGGAGAGTTTCCTATTTCTTGAAGAATACTTTCCTCTTTGATCTCTTGGAAACACGCTACATTCTTTAAGATTTTTGAAGGACCTCCAACTTTTTCTTGGTTATATCTTGGGTGTCATAAAAGTTTTAAAGCAAACTTGAACTTCTTTTATTGTATTCTTATCATTTATAAACCTAACTCTATAATTATATACGGCATCTTTAAACTAAGCGTTCTCTTTCATTTGGCGTGAACGTCGGATTTGAATTTGTTGTGTGGTAAACCACATAAATATGAGTTTTGTTCATCAACAGAACACATTAAATTAAAAAGCTTCAAAATACTGTTTCTACAGCCTCCAGAAACATTTTGTTTCTAAAAAAATCTAAGTTTTTTACTTTCATCAGTCATGCGGCCAAATGAATTTCTTTTCTTACTTAACTTTACATTTGCTGAACTACTTACATCCATATCACTTATTTCTTCATCACTTGGCATAGTAAATGAGTTTGTATCAGTAACTTGAAGAAACCAACCACAAATATTACATCTCAAAGCGACACACGAAAACAATGAGTAACAATATAAGCATCTTAACTTGCTTCTGCGTGATTCACAACTGACATTCCCCCTTCTTAACCGGTAACATCCTGAAATTCCCCATTCTTCTCCCATAGGTATTTTATTATTCATGTTATCTCATGACAACCCAATTTTAACCAGTGTTATTTACGTACAGCGAAGTACAGAATATAACCTATCTAATGAATTATTCATTATTGTCTTCTCTTATTGAAGAGATTATTGGAGTGAAGACCAAGAGCCGACAAGCGAAGTCGAGGCAGACCACCCACCCGATGGACCGACGACCTGAAGAGAGTAGAAACAAACTGGATTGCAGCAGCTAGAGATAGAGAGAACTGGAGACGTTTGGAGGAGGCCTATATCCAACAATGGATGTGAAAATTCGGCTGGATGATGATGAATGAATTATTAAAACAAAAGTGTAAATTTTTGACACTCCTCCTTTTTTCCCTGTATTTACGCGTTTTTGGAACACTGTAGATACCGGAATATAGTATAGGCCTCTCATTTATTGGAGTTGCTTATATGTATTATTAATGAAATATTCATTAGCTAATAATTATTCTTTTTCAAGACCCATAAGTGCTCGAAGCGATAAATCCGATAAATCTATTAAAGACCAACTCCAGAAAAAAGTTTTTACACTAGAAAATGAAATTATAGATCTCAAACAGAATCTCAGCGAACAAATTGCCATCAACGAAGCTCACAGAGTACAAGCCAATGAAGATTTCGAAAAATGGAAGAAAATGAAATATTTTCAACAAACAGCCGAGAAGTTGAAAAACAAATTAAAGGAAAGGGACAATGAGTTTGAAAAGTTACAGCAGACTAATACAGGTAAGATTTTTTACTCCAATTAGACTCTCCACAAACAAATTTCTATACTTTTAAATTGTTAAGTTTTAAAGTCCTTTACTTTATTAGAAGTAAGTCATGTTAAAGTATATTTCTGATAATATAGTTATTCCAATATACTACTAATATGGTTATCTAAAAATTACATCAGGATTTTGAAACTCTTTTTCTTGTGAAATTTCTATTTTATCTATTATATTTAATGATACTATATTGCAATTTTAATTGGAAAGACGTTATATTTGACGCTATGACTCCTACCTCGGTAATAGTTCCCAAAATACAAATACCATCTTTCCGTGTCCGGCTCTGTTCTTTATATTGGATACTGCCGATGTGTCTCCACTTGGATGGCATTATCATTAGCTGTCATTAGGTGAAGATGAGTGCATGTCTAGGTCAAATTTGAGAAAACCAATAGTTGTTCGAGAATCTGTACTTCAGCGCAGTCGCACTTGTCATCTTCTGCATAGCACCATATTTTTAACCACTGTGACGTGCTAGTTCTAAGAGTATTTAGAGATCTTAATGTAGGTAATTGAGGACCTATAGCCATCGTTTCTTTTGGTGTTAAAACACCAGCAACCTACGAGATTTCAACCTTGATGGACGCCTTCGCTAGTCAAACATAGGATGACGTGACTCACTTTCTTGCGTCTTCTTCTAGACTTCACAAATCGCTTTTCTTTTGATTTTTGGAGAAGCAATTCCGATCAATGGGTATAAGTTATGGTACGTTCAGCGAACTTCCACTCATAGCGACAGATGGAATAAGATGATTATACACTAGATACCATAGTTAGAACCTAAAAAGAGGAAGGCTACAAATAAGATGGTCAGATGACTTGAAGAAACACGCAGGCCCGAAGTGGATACAAACTGCCTACAATAGAGAGACGTGGAAGAAGGAAGAGGATGCCTATATCCAAAATTGGATAGCAAGGGCTGTATAGATAGATAGATGGGTATAAGTTACGGACTGAAGCAGGTTTCAAGTATCCGGATATTATTCGGGCTGTATGGTTTATAGCGTGATCAATATATGGCAAGTGTAAGCGGAATGGTTCCAAACTAGAACTGAATATTCTGCTGCGGAAAAACACAAAGATATAACTGATTTTCTTAGCACACTTGGATGAACAATTTAACTTGTTCCAGTTAGCTTACGTATTAGTATTTCTTGATTTCTTGAAGACATTTTTGCCTTTGTGTCTTCGCAGTTACCTTTAAACGTAAGAGATTACTGTCATATTGAGAATACTGTCATAATTATAGAATGAAGGTTACAATGAAAGTACTTATCCCAAGAGAATGTTGTAGACCATAAAATGAATCTTATAATAATGTTTGCCTTCTTTTATACATTTCAAAAACAGGCAGAAAATTATATTCCCACTACGTTAGAAAAGTTGACTGACAGAAAGTAGGGGTACTGAATGAAGTTAGCACCGATGTCATAGGATGTTCCTATACGATGGAATTAGCTTTTCTGTCAACACAAAACAGAATATTTAGTCTACCGGACAGAAAGAGAGAGAGCCAATATTTATGCTACGGGACAGATAGAGAGAGAAAAGAAAGACAAAGGAGGTAAAGAAAAACAGAGGCCGTCAACTACTTTTTAAATTAAAAATAGTAAAAAATAAATTGGAGATAAAGAAATTAATAAAGAAATTAAAATAAAATAATTATTTAAATATAAATTAATAAAGATATGACGTTTATAACGTTACAAAATGTTTAATTTGTATTTTAAGAACAATTTCCGGGGTGTATATTTCCGACATAAATACTGATAATAAAAATGATAAGGACATAATGATGACCTAAACAAAGTAGTCCTTCATACATTTACAGTAGTTGGAATGACGACAGAAAAAGTGATACAGCTTAACTAAAGAAAGAAAGACCAACTGATAAAGTACAAAGGATGCGTATTCTAAATAAAAGGTTTTTAAAAAAATGTGTCCTCATTTTAATAAAAGGCTAAATATACATTATTAAGTATGAAATAACAAGAATGATGATAAGAGATCTCCATAAACAAACAGATTAACAATTATAGTATATATTTTCTCATAACATTTACTAACTCTTCGGTGACTATTGACTTTATTTTTCTCTCGAAAACTCATATTTTTATATTTGATTATCATTCGAACCTGATTTTTTTAGGATATAGAATGGCGATAGAACGTTTGGAACGGGAAAAACGAAATCTTGAAAATAGGGTCAAGACACTAAAAGCTTCTAACCTAAATATTAATTTAAATTCCGAATTAGAAACGTTAAGAACTGAAAATTTAAAATTGCTCAACGATGTAGACATATTAAAGCACAAACTAGAAATGCAACAACACCATGCGGGAGCTTTGGGAGCTACTATGTTGCAGGAAAAACTCGAAGGACAGGAAAGAAAGATTGCGATTTTAGAATTATCGGCCAAGGTAAGAATTTTTTAAGCATCTGTTAAAATAAAAAATTAACCTTTTTATATTATCCCCAGTATTTATTTATATTTTTAACCCAACATAATTATTTGTAGTAATTCTTTTGTGTAATAACTCCAGCGGTCTGGAGTTATTAAAAAAACTACTTACAAGGCGTCATCCTCAAAGAGCTCTAGCTCCATTGGGAAGCATTTTTTGACTATGTGAATTGGGTTAACTCGTCTTTTAATTCTCTGAGGAATCCGCGGTCTTCGTTTATTAGGAGAGCTTCTGGACACCTTATATAGATATACATATTAATTTGGAAAAATTTGATGGAATCACCTATCCCAGGAACGAGGATCCCAGGTCTCAAGGCAATATCGAATCTTCTTACAGCAATAAAGTGAGTTCCATGTTAGCTGTTTTAATTTGATACATGTTTACCTGGACGATCCTGATTGTGGTTATTGGACATATGAGTCCGCTAGCGGGATCGTTCATTTTCTCGTTTCCTTAATGTTTTTAATTTTGTATTTTAATTAATCACTTATTTCCACTTCTGGCTCACCTCTTTTTGTCCCGTGTTCATTTTATTCCTAAGAGTTGGGATGCAATGCTATCGGTGATACGCAATGTAGTGCGTCCAGTATCAGTAGTCTGGTAGTGCGTCCATACGGTACCAAGCTAGTAATGTCCCAGAATTGGGGAGTGCAGTAGTCGCAGAACACATCTCATCGTATGAGTCTGTCTGAAACTGGTGATTTGTCCACGGAGCATGGTGTATGTGTGTGCGTGTGTTTATGTTTGAATGAGTGTCTTGTCATGTTCAATCAACAAATCTACAGTGAACGATATAGCTGTAATTTCTATGTCATGTTCTCAGTTAATCCGCAGATATTTTTTTAATATAAGCTATTCACACCTTCCCTATGATCCTATAATAGTCTTAGGGCGTTCCCTACTAGTAATACAGTCTGTTCTACGTGGAGTAGTCGAGACCAGACTCAGATTAGATAGAAAGGCACGACAATGACATATTAGTAGATTAAACTTTACAAAGTCAATCGAAATCGATCCAATTAGAGATAAAATACAAACAGAAAACATAAAGAGTATAAAAAAGTACAAAAATTTAAACAAATAATGTCATTTAAAAACGGATTTTATTTTATTTTAATGACATTTTGTTTTTTTTTAATGTATATTTTAATATAAAAATATAAACATCAATAAAAATACCATATGAGGGTTTAAATCTAAAATTTATTATATTCGACGGATTATGTACATTTTATTTTTATGTTCAAACTAATAAATTCTTTCATATTTTATACACCTAATCTAGTTTTGAAATATATCACACATTATTTGTAATTTTCGTATTAGTGATTTTAGTTTGTTTTATAGTCTCTTGGTTTTAATTTTAACCATAATCCACCTATAGGTGTTAAAATAATTCCTTTTGTTTCCATTTTCAACGGTAATTTCGTCTTTTCACTAAGTTCAAAGAAGAAGTTTCTCAAAGTTAGGGATAGAGCTATTTTTGCCTGAATCATTGCAAACCTCATGCCTAAAATTAAAAAAATATATTTATTAATATTTAATTATAATGACATTTAATTTATTTTTAAAAAATGACAATACTATTTTAGTTTAAATTTAAGTAGTAATATTTTTCGACGGTCACTTAAAAGTTTTTATTACGGGGTATACCGGAGGAGGGGAAAACGAAATTAGCCGACGAATCCTTGAAAAACTATTAGAGAAATAAAGAAAAGAGCGACAAAATAAATCTCCAATTGGCAGTATGACTTCACCCTACAATCATTAACAATTAAATATTGCTATTCAAATTTATATTTGATAAAGCACTGATAAGGCACGTTTTTAGTTTTTCCCACAGAAGAGCGATCAAGTTATGGTACTCAGTTATATCAACTTTTCAATTTCACTTTGAATTAGTGTTTTGTGTTGTAATTGATTTATTGGGAAAAATAATGTTGTCTAAATTTTCACACAGTCTATAATGTTTACATTTTTTTGGATGTGGTTGTATATGGATATAATTCACTCATATTATTATCTAGAATAATTAGGTATCTACTATATATTATTTTACAATACAAAGTAAAAGGGATAAATTCCAGTGGTTGGCTATATACCAGAGTGTAAAAAAAATTACAAAGAAGTAATGACTTCTGATTTTTTTTTATTTCGAATTAACGTGTCTCGATGTCTTTGGTCATTGAGAGCAAAGGTTTACAATAGTATCTACAGATTTTTCATACAGAGTTTATAATAGTAAATAATAATAATATTAAATCCGTAAAATAGTTTCGAAACCAATTCAGATTTCTGCTTTAATCTGAACCTTCTAAAAATTGCAAGGTAAACAGACGTTGATAAAGCTGTTAAAAGAGACATGGGGAATCTAAAATTTGCAATCCACGACATGTCTCCTCAACTAAACAGAAATCCTTAGCGAATTGGTTTCTTGTACTCATACAGAGTAGATTCGAATAAAATGAAATGAAATGAATGAAAATACTCATACTCTGTATGAGTACAAGAAACAAATTCGCTAAGGATTTTTGCTTATTTGAAGAGACATGTCGTGAAATGCAAATTTTAGATTTTCCATGTCTCTTTTAACATCTTTATCAACGTTTGTTTACCTTGCAATTTTTAGAAGGTTCAGATTAAAGCAGAAATCTGAATTGGTTTCGAAACTATTTTACGGATTTATTATCAGATGTCGCTATTGCGTCCATATCGAAGCCATTTTAATGTTGCTTCTTAAAGACAGAAAAGATTTATTTTTCACGTTGAGAACGCCTATGAATAGCTGTTCTGATGAGGCCTATTAGGCCGAAATACGTATAAACAGCTACATATACGCTTTGTACGTGAAATCTAATCTTTACTGTCTTTTTCATTTTATTCGGATCTACTCTGTATGAGTACAAAATCCAATTCGCTAAGGATTTCTGCTTAGTTGAGGAGACATGTCGTGGAATGCAAATTTTAGATTTCCCATGTCTTTTTTAACATCTTTATCATCGTCTGTTTACCTTGCAATTTTTAGAAGGTTCAGATTAAAGCAGAAATCTGAATTGGTTTCAAAACTATTTTAAGGATTTATTATCAGATGTCGCTATTGCGTCCATATCGAAGCCATTTTATTGTTGCTTCTTAAAGACAGAAAAGATTTATTTTTCACGTTGAGAACGCCTATGAATAGCTGTTCTGATGAGGCCTATTAGGCCGAAATACGTATAAACAGCTACATATACGCTTTGTACGTGAAATCTAATCTTTACTGTCTTTTTGATCAAATATTAATATTATGTAAATTATATTTTGCTAATCAACTGTGTAGTCTTTAAGAAGTCTATTAGGATCTTGAGTCCGCTTGAACAGTTCAGAAGTTCTTTTACACTGTTGGTTATATTATTGACAATACGAGTGCCCTGGTAGTGTTAACGTTCTGTGAGGATGTGCTTGACGGTAACAGGAATATCCTTGCAGTGGGAGCATAACTGTTGGTCTGTAGAGGACATTAGATGACCGTGTGTCAAACGTGTGTGTCCTATCCTCAATCTTCGTATTGCTATCATCTCTTTTGTGTTCAGAGGTGCCAGGGATAAACAGATGTTTACATTAGGTTGTATTTCTCTGAGCTTTGTGTCTTTGGTGATCCAAAGTTAATGCCACTTGCCTTGGATACCCTTTTTGAATTTTTATTTTATATCTTCTTGGAGCTTTATGTTGTAGACAAGTAAGTTGGATATAGATGCTTCTTTTGCAGCGCTGTCAGTCATCTCTTTTAACATATCTCACATCTTGAATAACCATCTGTGATATTATAGTTGGCCCCATTTTTACCTAATTTTGGTTATGGAAAGAGGGACCTCTGTCGCCAAAAAGATCAGAAATATAGTTTGTTCACAGTTATTCTATTTTTTGTGTGTCTAGGACTGTCTAATTATTATGATTCATTAACTTTGTATATGTTGAAGATATAAAGAAATTATGTTTTTGGTATATTTTCTTCCTTGGCATATTTAATTTTTGTTGTGTTCTGATGAGTTTTTAATGTTTATAGTTTTCTATGTATGTGTTTTACATTTTCGTCTTTTTTGCATTAAGTTAATATATCTTGAGTCATCTATTTTTATGTCGTTTTTTGATATTTGTAGGTATTTTTTGCTCTTGTTCAGAATTGCACTTTTAAGCTGATTCCAAGTGTGCTCTATAGTTTCCTTAGTAGTGTATTCGGCTTCTTGATTATTTTCGGAGTTATCCATCTGTTCATTGAGTATGTTAGAGATAATCTAATGACTTACCACTTGCCTTTTAATTAATGCATTAAATTTTCTTAAAATTATATCTATTCAGTTTCGTTTATTTGTCTTTGACAATAGTTCGTGCTTCACCTTGACTTCATTGACTGTATCAATAGGCGCTTACAGATCTTATCGTTTGACCAGCGGTTAAAAAGTTAAAATAAGACAAAGTTAAATTCCAAGAGAAAATATAGTTAAAAAAGGGAAACTCACCAATACAATTTCTAGGGCCGTCACCGAAAGGTATGTATGTACCTTCCCATATCTTCGACTTATTTTCTTCTGAAAATCGGTCTGGATCGAACAGTTCAGGTTCTGGAAAATACTCTGGATCTCTGTGTAGGCCGTAACACGGTATAAGTACCGATAAACCTTTCTCTATGACTATATTACTGTTTGGTACTGGATATGCTTTTGTGCATTTTCTAAGAAATACAGGTGCTGGGGGATATTTCCTCATTGTTTCTGTAAATTAGTTAAACATTATTAGCAATTAATCTTAAATAAAAAGTAAAATACTAAGGACTCAATCTAGTCCATGCAAGATCTGTTTTAAATTCGACATTTTCCATAGAAGTCTATTTTTTGATGGAATCACTTCAGAGTGTACCTTGTCTCAATGATCACTATATGTACCAGTCGCAAACCTTTTTAAAATTTTAAATTTTATATTTATTAAAATCTGAAAAAAATAAAAAATTTTTACTTTTTTGGTGATAACTCGAGAGATATTGCACCTATAAAAAAAAACATAAGTTAAAATTTTCTTTTTCGATTTTACATAAAATTTGATACGATCGGTTTGATAGTTTTTGCAAAATAATTTTAAAATTTAGGGACAACAAAAAAAAAGCAAAATTATTTTGGGCCCAAATAAGGCACAAAAAATTTTTCTTATATATAAAAACGGCTCAATATTTCAAAATCACTTTGAAAAATTGAAATCGGTAAACTAGGAGAGCCTAGGGAATTTTTGAAGTTATAAACAATTTTTTTTTATAATAACAGTTTTATAATAATTATTAATTTATTCAATTTAAAAATCTATTTTTATTTACTACAAATGGTCATTTTCAAATGACAATTTTTCGACGAGCATTTGAAAGCTTATGCCTTTTTTATATGTAACAAATTCACATATTTTAAAACTGGTTATTTTGGGCCTAAAATAATTTTAAAACTTTTTGTTGTGGATCTGTTGTTGGTTTTGTTGTGTCCTTGCAAAATTATTCTGCAAAAAATATTAAACCAATCCTAACGAAATTTAGGGTACGTTTTAGACTTACTATAAAGTTTGTCTTATGAAAGCTGTAAGTTATGTTTAAGTGGCCGAAAAAAATTAAAGGGGAAATTCCATTTTTTTCACTTTTTTCCCAATTATTGCTATTTTGGAAAACATTAAATTATACATTAAATTTTCAATTTCCATCTAGTCAAATAACATTTTAAATTGAAAAACAAAACTTTTACTTTCTATAATTTTTTTCTAGAACAAATATCTTTTGATGTAGGCGAAAATATATATGGGCGAAAAAATAAGAATTTTCGATTTTTTTCAGATATTGCTAAATAAAAAATTAACTACGTTTGCGAATGATGGCGCATATCCCGTCTGGACTAATCTGAAATACTTTAAAGTACTTCTTTTAAAAATTTAAGTTTATTTCGTAAAAAAAATAAATTTACATTAAATAGAATGCATATTAGAGAATAAAAATGATAAAAGAAAGTAATGGATGCAATAGAATTCGAAAAAAAGAACAGTTGGTAAAAATTAAATATACTCATTTTATCTAAAATTAAATGTGTATACCAAATATTATTGTATCCAAATAAGTCATCTCCATGATAGATTCATACGATAAATCCTTGTATTTCTCCATTAGCTCATCCACTTCTTTCCTAGCTCTGTTTTGAATTGATTTATTCACAGCCATTTCATATAAAGCAAAGCTTATGGTAGTTGAAGTAGTTTCAAAACCAGCGAGGAAGAAAATAAACGCTTGGGCTGCTGCCTCTTCTATGGTAAGAGCTGTTCCAGGAGGTGGCTAATAAAGATAATTTATTTATTAGTGAATAAACTATTTTACAAAATTCAAAGTTTATATAATTATAATTTTCTATAAATAAATACAATACTACTTGAAACAAAACACTTGAGATACACAGAGAAATACAAAACAAATAAGGGACGCAAAGGAGAATTGATTGAATGAATGATGCTGTAAAATAGAAAATCTGCAAGAATTACACGACTTGTTTAACGAACATAAGAAGATTAGAAAACTTACCGGAACCTACAGACACAGACATGGAAGTAAACGAATTGACGACAACGGGCAATTTTTCCTAGCAAAACAAAAGCTGTAGAAAAAGCTGTATATAGGAACGTAAAATGTTAAACGAAGGAAAACAAATTAATAAATTTACGGTGGGAAGAAGATAAATCATGGGTGGGAAAAAAGAGCTAACGATGAAGCATACGACTAATGTCTAGAAATTCTTCAGATAGCAATTCATGCTGAGAATGCAAAGGTCAAGATTGATAAATTATATTTGAAGAAACACAGAAGATAAGAAAATAAAAAAGTTTTAAACAAGACAGTGCCAAGCAATAGAGAAAGGGGAAGAATAAAAATTAGATGACAAGACGAAGCAGGCCAGGATTTAAAGAATCTAATATAAGAATATTTGGAGAGAAGTTGTGCAATAAGACTTGGGGCAGTAGGCTAATTAAATCAACAATCTGCAATTCATTACTTTTAATTGTTACATCATTATATGAAATCGTAGGCTTCCACGGCCAGAGTCAGAATTATAGTTTATTCGTCTTCCGAATAAACTATAATAGAAGTATACTCGAAGACGAATAAACTATAATACATCATTATAGTCTACTTTTCAAATATATACCTTTTTAAATTCATCTGCAACATCCTCTTCTAGTTGTCCGTTACGTCTTAGTTGTATCAACAACTGAAGAAAATCTGGTCTTGTTACATTATTCTTTTCCCTGAATTCTATAGTGTCTCTTACAACTCGGTTGAAAAAGTCTGTTACGTTTCCAGAAAATACACCGATACCTAATAAACCTGCCAGAGGTGGAAAACTGCGAATTACTACCTGTAAAAGAAAAATAAAATGAAAAAATATAAAAGGGATTAACAAATGACTATAATCAAGTTATACAAAATGTTTTATATGAGAAGGAACAGCAAGAAAAATAAACATATACGGAGCAAAACAAGAAAAAATCAATCTTTTTATAAAAATAAAAATAGTGCTTCTTTTTCTTCTTTTTCTTCTTTAGATCCCGTCTAACATTTTCTCTTTACTCTTTTCGAATTGAATCGATATTTATTCGTATGTTGTTTTATCGTTCTTACTCGACGAAAAGTGTACAAAATGATAATGATGGATATAAGGAAATTGTTGATGTACTCGTGAAGTATACATATTCCTAACTTCGACATAAAAGCTTTATTATCTTGGATTTAAAGTTTAGTTCAATCGCTATTGTAACATCCTCGATATGGAACCTTTAGGATGCTTATCCCTGCGAGCGGCTGCAAGGCTACTGGTCCCACTGGTCTGGAATGACTGGCTTGCCTTCGTGGATTTACGATAAGGTAGAGAAGTTTCGGGGTAGGGATTTAAGGGCTTCTAGGTCTCAGGACCTGTAAAGAGTTTGAGTCTATGGGCTTACTTTAGAAGCCGGATAAATGTATAAGCCGAAATTTGGTACTCTCTCAGGCCGGAAGGAACATAAAAACCAAATTTAGAGTCTACAAATGTATTGAATATACTATGTGGTTTACAATTGAGTTAACAAGCCGTCAGATATAATCAATAATAACTCGTTCGGCGCGAAGGGAGACGAGAAGAGATCTTAGCAAGAAAGTAAAGGGGTGACAATCTGTACTACTATAATTTACTCGGGTTAATATATGGAATTTTGTTACCTTTCGCGTATTTAGGCTCTAGCCAATGATACGCCCTTCAGTTCCTCTGGAAATCGGATTTCTTTCTGTACCAGACACTTATACGGAACTATATCCCGTCGAATTATAACAATCGCGCGTAATCCGCACCTGGTGTCGCCTCTCGCTTTGACAGCCCCATCCGAAGATACTGACTGACCGGGCTTCCTCCGTTCTTTTCGTTTTTTATTGAGCTCGTATTCTCAAATGCCGATTGTAGTACCAAGGTAGAGTTTTTTGCTGAGTCCTCATGATTTAAACCAGGTCGGCGCTGGTGAAAATTTCCAGCGTAGGTCTATGTTTATTAAAACGTGACTATTTTATTTTTTGAACAATTGTTGCAACTGATACTGGCTCGTGTCATGCAACTAACTGGGTCAAATTGTTTTTCTTTGTATAGATTAACATATATACGTTACTGTATCGAATTTATTCTTTATTAATTTGGAATATATAATAATTATTTTGAATAATTATTATCTTCTCTATGCTACTTAGCCCTTATTTTTTCTATTCTTTATTTTCTTGCTATGTTTACATTACACTATCGATACTGATTTATACCACTTCCAAAATGTTGTACGGTATTCAACTAATAAAATTTATAAAAAAAATGAGTACCACAAGTACTCCTGATGAGAAGTGAATACTTCGAAATACGTGTAAAGCCATGGTGGAACTTGAATTGATAATAAATGCAATCAAAATACAAATGCAAGGGTAAACTGTAGATTTATTGCCAGAATTAAAGATTAATTCTAACATCGTCCAATAGCTTCCAGTAAGCTTAGGTTTGCAGTTCATCGAGTTTGCCATCGAAAAGAAGTCATCCCATTATACATCACATGAGAATTTTTAGTAAAATTAGTGGCACTAATAAGCAACTAAGACTTAGTATTACGGGCCAGATTCCAAAAGATTGGCTTCGATCTACATTTATTGCCCTACCAAAAACACCACGTGCGAACTTCTGCAAGGACCACCGACTAATAAGCCTAATGAGTCACTTTTTAAAACTTTTCCTGAGAATACTTCACACTAGATTGTTTAAGAAATGTGAGGAGGTCAGTGGATGGAGTCAGTTTGGTTTCAAAAATGGACTTGGCACGAGAGAAGCGATCTTTAGTATGCAAACATTGATACAGAATTGTTTAGATCAAAGAAAGGATGTTTTTATCTGTTTCATCGATTACGAGAAAGCATTCGATAATGTAAAACATGAATTGATGATAAAATACCTACAAGAATTGGGATTGGATGCAAAGGATATAAGAATCATCGCCAATCTGTATTGGAATCAGACAGCAACAGTACGTCTTCAAAATTTCAACGAAACAGAAGATTTCTCCATTAAAAAAGGAGTAAGACAAGGTTGTATACTGTCCCCAATGCTGTTCAATTTATACGTAGAAAAAGCCTTCGCAGAAGCAGTGGAAGACTCTAATAAGGGTATTAAAGTTAACGGCATATTTATTAATAACATCAGATATGCCGATGATACAGCCATAGTGGCAGATAACATCGAAGATCTTCAATGCCTTTTAAATGATCTAACTCTTGCAAGTGAAGCTCGGGGTTTGAAAATAAATATCAAGAAGACAAAATCAATGATTATAAGTAGAAATGATTACCCCAACGCAAAGATATATGTCTCTGGAGAAGAAATCGAACAAGTCAGGCAATTCAAATACTTGGGATGTTTGCTGAATGAGGGTTGGGACCCCGAGAATGAAATAAAGAGCAGAGTTGAACAAGCCAGAAATGCTTTTTTGAGGCTTCGTAAGTTTCTGACTGATCGCAAATTGGACTTCAACCTCCGATACAAGATGCTTAAGTGTTACGTGTGGCCTGTTCTCCTGTACGGAATGGAAGCATGGACGTTAAAGGCCAGTTCCATTAACAAACTTGAAGTGTTTGAAATGTGGTGCCTGCGTCGAATGCTCAGAATATCATGGACGGACAGGGTCAGAAATGAGGAAGTACTCAGAAGAGCGGGCTTACAGGATAGGGAACTTTTTAATTATGTGAAAAGTAAGAAGACTGCATACTTGGGGCACATTATACGAGGAGAACGATACACTTTTCAGCAACTGATACTCGAAGGGAAAATAGAGGGTAGGAGAGGTCTCGGACGTAAAAAAATGTCATGGCTGCGCAATATTCGACAATGGACAGGAATCCACAGCTATGAAATGCTTCGCAATGCTGCTAAAAACAGAATTATTTAAACCAGAATATTTAACAGCTCACCTGACAAGACGATGTACGGTGGACGCCTACGCAGAAATGCACGGCACCTTAAGAAGAAGAAGACTTAGTATTAGCTTTGTTAATTCACTTTGTAAAAGTTTTTAAACTATTGTGATGGTATTAATAAAAAATTATTTACATATTGGTTTATAATAGAAACTAAGAAAAAAATACTAACTATTTTTAAAACATCCCCAATAGTTTGAGTAAAAGCCCTTTTTCCCATTAATCTAAATTCTGCTTCGGGATCAGTCATACAATGACATTCTAGTCCAAATGCACACGAACCTATTACATCGGTCGTATATCTTGCTAGAATTTCTTTAATTTCCACTTCACCTTTCTCGTTGGCGATTTCTTGAAGCTTTTTTGTCATGGTATGGCCGCACTTATCTATTGTTCCAAACATGTATTTCAGTTTACCGGGTGAGTACGCTGGAGTTAGTTTCGATCTTAAGTTTTTCCATTTTGTACCTACAATATACGAATTAAAGTAAGTAAAAAACATTAACAATATTTATAAGTCAACTTTTGGTATATTTTCCATAGTTTACATTGAACAAATATGTGGACCTTATGCAAATATTGTATATTACATATACACACATTATCAAAAATATCTAAGAAACACTACTCTTATTCCACTATTTTATTAAAAATAAACACTTGTTGGTTTATTCATACCATTCGATTTAAAACTTGTTTTTGACAGAACAAGGTAAATAACGATTCTGAAAAAACTAGAAATGCGCATAATCTTTCTAAAAAAGCAAAATGCGCTCCTGTATGAGTAAACTTGTGCATGGGCGATATTCCAATGAAGTCAATCAAGACTATGTCGACAACATCATCCAACTTGACAATTGGTTGACATCAAGAAATATATTTGCTGAAACAGGCTAAGATTCCATACTCATCATTCAAGATCAGCAAAAAATTTACCTAAAACATATCGTTAAAGATCCTCAGATCCAAAATGAGAAATGCTGATATAGATATCAAGCTCAAAAAACCTTCAACAATATTAACTGAGGTTGCCAGAAATTAACTACAATGGAGAATGAAGAGGATCCAGACGATGCCTATTATTGTCTCTAATAATCTTGTCATCTCAAAAAATTTGCTAGAAAACTTAAAACCTCGAGGACTAAATAAACACATCTATAAGATCATCATGTAGAAAGCTGTACTACTCCAAGCGACATCCAGATGTACTTCAGCATACTAGGTCACCTAGATCTTGATACCATAGAAAAAGTATATCCAGAGCTCAATCCTCTTAATACCGAAGGTAATAGGAATGAGTGACTTTTCCCTTACAGGAAGTTAGAGCCACTCTCTCTCCAATGGTACTACAGCTCAAATCAAGCTTTCGCCTCCTCCAAATTATGCCTCCAACCTTGCCGGTCCGCTGAAGATTTGGTAAATTCATGGTTGTACCTGGATCTCCATAGTCCGTTTTCGTTAATAGCTCTAGATATCTTCATTAGGAAAAGTTGGAAGTCTTCGTTCGAAGACTTCCAGCTGTCGTTTTGTGTTTTCTGTAATAATCCATGTCTCGCATCTATAATATACTATTGATCTGATAATAATTTTGTAGACCCTGATCTCCAGTGTGTTTGGAACGGAACACATGGGCAAATGAACAGTAAGCTTTCTTGTCTTTTACTTTATTTTCCTTCTTTAAATTTCTGGCTCTTTTGTTCTGTGTTTAATGTTACCTTCAAATATAAGAAATTTTGTGCAGTTTCAATATCGTCCTTTAATTAAATTGTACGTCTCTTTTCCCTAGTTCTTGTCTGTGTTAGTTTTTTGTCTTTGGAATATTTATCTCTCTCTTCTGCCCTGTTTTTAATTGTTAACATATTTCTGCCGCCTCTTTTGTTCTGCGAGATACTAAGCTAATGTCATCGGAATAGGCAGCAATCTGTATTGATTTATTTATTAAGGGATTACCTCTTCCTTTGTAACCTCGGAAATTTTTTTGGGTGGTGCTAGAAAGATAACCAATGGAGACACTGCGGACGGCAGCCAGATGGTTGGTGGAGAGCGAGTCGTGGGTTCAAAACTAGCTTTTGGAACCGGGAATGGATCCAACGGAAGAAATAGGTAAAGATAGGATAAGAGATATTAGAAAAGATACAGAAATAAACAAAAAGATAGATGGGTAAAATTACCAAAGATAAGAGAAGACAGGGGGCCACTCAATTTTTTGGGGTTAAGGAGAAAATTAAGAAAACCTTAGAAAATAAAAGAGATAAGAAAAGATATTTAGGTTCAGAGATCAAACCCAAGGAAAGATACCAACAGTAAATTATCAAATAAATCTGGTCAACGCAATATATAAATAAATAATAAATATATTAAGTATTACACTTACTTACCTACGAAACTTAATCAGCCTGAACTTTCTACAGTTCAAAAGCATAGTAATATTTAAAGATAGTAATTGTTCAGAGCTATTATTTTATCAGGGAACTTGTTAGGAGCCGACAAATAAAATACATGTATAAAACAATAACAATATATTAAACACAAAAATATGATGCTGCTAAATGCAACCCAGGTAATAAAAATACACAACTATGAAATGGTGTTATATCTGTATAAAATTAAGCTATAATGTAATAAAATAATACCTTTACCAAGATATATAAGGCAATCATATACAAATATAGTTGGCGTATCTCGAGATATCATAGGAAAGATAATGAACAAAAATTATAGGAAATACAAAAGATAGCAAAAATTACTTAACTTTAAATTTACAAAAAAAAAACAAAAAGGTTACAAGAATGAAAACATAAGCCAAACCGCACTTGGCTAAGTCAATTAACTATCTCGCACTATTATTTAATAAAAAACTAAGACTTGTATGTTCATAGGTAATATTTATAGAAATTTCTTGAGTGGTTCAATTACATACAAAAATCGGCAATCTTCAGGTGAAGATATAGATGATACGTCCAGATAATGGCAGGTGATATAGTACCATACCATATTACTCGCCCAGATAATTGTAGATAAAATTCCTTACAGTAGATCTTGACGAAGGCAGCTTAATTCACTGAATTTAATACTTTTCGGTACTAAACACTGAATTTAATAACCATTAAAGGTAGTGTAGAACTATATATAATTTAATATAGTCTAAGGAAAGAAAACTCAAATATAAAGTGTATACACACTTAGAAAATAATTCACAAAGACGATACGATAAGAAAATAAAGTGAGCAAAGCGTAACACGAGATATTGGCCTTAACTCAACAACGGCCCACCAACAAGTAACTTGGTTCCACTCAAAATTTTACCAACTGTACCTGAAAAAGGAAGAAGAAAATATTCCCCCATTCAAGAATGATAGGACAGTTGTATGTGTTTCTCAGAAGGTAAGGCCTTGACGACTATTGGAAAATTTGAGGTAAAATAATCGGTATTAACAATTGGACATAAGAAACAGACAATACTTGGGATTAAGTTTTTGTCAAAAGAAACGGAAATTCGACGAAAATTACCAATTTATGAAAAGAAACCGAATACCAGAAAGCATTATACTCTTTTCATAATGAATATTATGACGGAAGGATTAAAAACCATTCCTAATTTGGGAATTCCATTTTAGCTGGGTATCTACAATATTTTGCTATCGATACACGATCATAGGCGTATCGCACGGGGGTAAAAGGAATTAGAAATATTTAATATATTAATAATAAAAAAAATGTTACACCTTTATTCGTTTTATTACATATTTAAGAGTTTGGTTGAATAGTGTCGGTGCCAGTCGTCTGCTTGTTTTAATCCTTTAACTATTGAAAAGTTTTCAGTGAGCTCATTTTGTACTCTGACAGTTGCTGTTGACTAGTCCATCGTTTCTTTTACTAGTCGGATGTATTTTTGGGGAATGTTAAAGCTATGCAATATTTGATATAACTTTTGTCTATCAATGAAGTCGTAGGCCTGTTTGAAATCTATGAATATGTTGTCGTATTCCCACGATTTGTTTAGAATTTGTTTCCCATTGAATAGCTGGTCAGTTGTCGATCTTCCTTGTCGGAAACCGGTTAGGAAACAATATTTTCAGTTGGAGGTGTTTATTAGGTGTAAGTCGTTGGAGGCATCTGGAACAGTGACTTTGTCCTTAAAGGATGTTAGAGTCGTATGTCCTAAATCTGGATAATAAAAATACTATAGGCTGCAACTGAATATAAGTAAAGACTTGACTCACTAGGAAATATCCTTCATCAAGAGAAAGCTAAAAAACTGGGACTTCTCCAAATCAACCATCTCCATTATTCATCAATACCTACCTGGCATTATGCTTGAGAACTGCAACAAGTTATACTGGGACTTCAATACTCTACTCACAGACCAACTAATTAGTCAATCTTCGCTTATCCACTGCTGGACATAGATCTCCCTCATAATTTTCCATCTATTTCGATCTTGTGCCTCTTGCATCCAATTCCTATGACAACGTTTTAGATCGTCAGTTCAACGTGTTGGTGGACGACCTCAGCTTCGGTAGGCATCATCTCTCTGTCTCCATTCCAGTATCCGGTTTGTCCATCTATTATCTGTCATTCAAGCCACGTGACCTGTTCAGTTCCATTTCAGTGTTGCTACTCTCTCTACTGCATCAGCCACTCCTGTTCTTTGTCGTAGCTGGCGATTTGGGATCTTGTCTCGTAGTGAAACGCCCAACATAGCACGCTCCATCGCCCTTTGACACACATAGTATCCTATTTGAAGAAACACAGATGCTGGACAAAACTTCACAGTACTACCCAAGGTTGTATCGGGAAGCGGTGGAAATATACAAGCACCCAAATAATTTTAATCGGATACAAGAAGGGCTGAAAATTAACAAGACTTGGATACCAATACTTAAATCTACAAACGCCCTTCCCGCCAAACACGAAGAAAGAAAAGCTTCTACAAACAACGATATGCCCCCTCAAGCCGAAACCAGTGGAGGTGAGGCGAGTGGGAAATATAAATATTGCCTCCGTAGTACAACATAGCGTCAGTTTATGCTTACAAGCGAAGCATTAACCTCTCCAGAAGATGCCAACGCCTAGTGTTGGCGAAACGTCGAGAACTAATCTCAGAAGACAACGGCCTAATAGCTCGAAAAAACAGTTTAACAAGTTAGACGATGGCCGTGAAAGCCTAACGCAGTTTATCTAGTGAATAGTTTGATTGTGTGTACAACACTAATTGATGAGGCGATACTTAATAACAATATTCTGCGTGCTAAATATTAAGAAAATATAAGAAAAGTTAAGTACAGAAATCTATAAATACACATAAGAGGACAATGGAGTATGGAAATATGCCAGACGATACTTATTATTTCCTCTACCATTGTTGATGTCATCCCGAAAAAACTAAAAAACATAAAACAGTTGGGTCTAAGTGAACATCTTTATAAGACCATGCAGAAAGCTGTATACCAGTGCTTCCCAAACTG